AAAAACCTTAGAGACTTTGTAGAGACATTAGGTATTTTGGAAAAGTCGGACAAGTGAAAAATTAGCAAATGCCTTCACCGGGAATCGAACCACAGACCTCTGGAATACCGGCCCAGCGCGCAGAACCACTACACCACAAAGGCACGCTAGGAAAATGGGCAGAATACCTTATAACTTAGAAAACTAAAATCCTTTCAAAAACATAGTAAGTTTAAAGAACATAAAATCCTTATGAAATCCTGAAAAATTAATACTTTCACTTCCAAAAAATTTTCAAATATGAAAATCCAGTCCTTACAAAAACATAATTTTAAAAACTAAAAATTGTTTCAAAAACATAGCAACACTTAAAATCGTTACAAAACACTGAAAAATTAAAATACTTTCACCTGCCTGAAAAGGTGTAATCCACTCCGCTCAGCCGAAGAACAAAAAGTAACAAATTCTCAAAATGTTCTCGCAATATTGTTTAAAACAACCTCTACCATCTATTATCGTCTACACCAATTAGAATTTTAAATTTTAAAATACATACTGAAAAATACACTCGAAAATGCTCTGAATTTCATGCTCAAAAGAAATTATCAATTTAAAATACATACTGTGCATGTGCGAAAATGCTTTGAAATTCGCCTTCCAGAACGGCAAAATCAACTTCGATACCACATTTGGCGCACTTATCAATCTCGTAAAAATCGCCAAACACAATGCTCCAAATAAGTGGGCGATTCTGCACTTTACTCGAATTTTCTTCTTTGATTGCAAGCATATTTTTGAAAGTATAAATGATCATCTGCTACCTCACAGTTTAGTTTTCATGCAAAATTTCACTTTTAAAGAAGTAATGGATGAAAGGCTATGTCTGCATTCTTTCATAAGAAAATTATTCATATCTACTTAATAAAAAACACTATGAAACCCACGGTTTTTCGATATCTAAAGCTAGGAGAGGTAATGTTGACAACAAGAAAGGGGGGGGGACTGTCAAGGTTTAGCTTCAAGTGGAAAAATTGTTCCAAATATATGTCCAATCAAAAAATGGAATGTTTTGAATGTTCCAAAGGCAAGATCTTTAAAGCTGAAAGAAAATCAGCCAAGCCAAAGGACAGTTGCAAAATATTAAAATGCTGAGTGTCCAAAAAAAAGTGATTAATGCTGATTTGAATCATTAAAAAAAAATGCATCTTCTTTCTGCATGACACATCCCCAAACGCAGGACATGCTGCAGAATTTTTTATGAGAAATGTTTATCCGGCCAAAAATGGAAAAATTTTGTCACAATAGACAAATTGCGTGTACTTATACGACTGCAATAAAAAGAGATCCATTTATTATCATCAAAAATGAGAAAACAATCTTAAAACATGGTTCAAGGAATCTAAAGAAAGTTTTTCAAAGGGATTTAAGAGGGTTGCTGATTTTTCATATAATGGATCATTAAAAATAATGACAGTAGAGAAAAATGTTAAGATCAACTCCACATGTTATCAAAAACATATTTTATACCCAATTTTCAAATATGAAGTAACTTCTCCCTACACACAGTGCAATCAATCAGTAAAATTGCATCAAGACATAGCAAGTAGCAATACGTCAAAAGCTACTGTTAATTTCCTGGGAAAAAAATGGGACAAGAAATGTATATCCTTCACTCATATCTCTGCTAAATCTCCTGATCTATCACCAATGTATTTTTGTACTTTTGGATTTTTAAGAAGTGGGTTGTCCCAACTTCGACCCACAACCTCCTTAAATTTTGGAAACTTGTTCAAGAGCAAAGGGATAAAAAACCTCTTCCGATACTATGAAAGTCTTTATTGTCTTGAAAATTATGGTGTATAAAGATAGTGAAGAATAAGGGTTATCAAACAGAAGATTTAAAACATAAAAATTTCAAGTACACTATTTCCATAATTACAATGAAATTTGTCTAAAAAAAATGTGCAAACAGCTTCTGTAAATGAGTAGGAAGATGGAGAAAAAGCATGAGCCATAATAGAATACTACCAGAAAGCACAGATACGCTGTGAAACTGCATTGGATCAACAAACAGACTTCCAATTTAATTATGTTGGAAATTTATTACAGTTTAATTAGCATTTTAAATTAAATCCCTACCTTGAAAAATATACCGCATATGTTAGGTTTCCCTACCCTCAGTATAAAGCCTTTTGTTAATTATCCATGTTCTATGGTTGTGCCCAACTGTGCCTTTATTAGCACAGAGGATAATCGAGAGTTCAGCGTTCATGTGTTTACACATTTTTAACAGTTAAATATTTGAAGTATCTTTCCAAGACTAGATTACACATATAGATTGCCTATTTGTCCTTATTACTTATAAACATTGCCTATTTTGATCTCCTTATTATATACATGATGCAGTAGTTTTCCTAGGATCTCATTAAAAAATGTGTGGACAAAATAATATGCAAGAAAAATATCACCCTATTTTATGAAATGCATATTTTACATTGAGATGAGTATAATAATTTCAAAATTGTATTTAAAATTAAATCCTCAACATTTGAATTACAAAAATTTTGAGCAACGAAATAAGCAAAGTACATCGTAATTATGCTAAGATACAAAATTATTTTAGCATTTTAAGAAATCTTTTTACTTTCTAAACATAATTTTCAAACATTTTTCATTGTTACAAAGCATTATTATTTTAAGCAAAACTGTAGCACACTCATAACTAACAATTTTAGAGCATACCTCTTAATTAACATGTTGGCTGCCCACACGAGATAGCTCGTGCTAACGCTCAGGACGCCCAATACGAGTTATCTCGTAGTTTCTCGACTTGCCACTTTTATGCGGCTACAAATTACTTACTCGCTTTAGGTGTATCGAGGCAACAAGTCGAAGTATGTCTGTACGAATCAACTCGTAGTGGGCTTCTGCAAAGAGCTTTGTCTAACAAAAGCCAACAATGAGATAATTAATTCGTAGGACCCTTTTTTCTACGAAAAGAAAAAAAAAATCTGTAAACATTTCAATGATTGTTACGAATCATAATTAGTATTTTTAATACAATAATATGATTAAATCGATTTGGTTTATCTGACTGAAATCTGAAAAGTGCTGTGGCAGTTAATGTGTTAAAATCTTCAATTTCTTAACCTTCAATACATGTATTTCAATATTGTAATAATTATTTTATAAAATGATAAGCAGCACATTATTTTAAATGTTAATAAAATTTATATGAACTATTTATTTTTTACCTTGAATCTTCCTTAGTAAATGATATTCATCCAATTATTGAGATATTCTTTCATATAAAAAATGATATGTTTTCTCAAGCTATCAATTTCCCTAAGTAACACTTAATCAGCAAAAATTTGAATCTCCACCATTCATTTATATGATTTTTTTTAAACTGAAAATAAGAATTAAGCATATTATAAAGATTTTTCAGAACTATATTTTATAGAGGAAAAGGCTAAAATAAAAAATAATTTTGGAAATAAAGAATAATAAATAGTAAGAGCATTATATTGATTATACTGTATCTTGAAAACAATTATTTATTTTAGCCTTTAATGAACAAACATGTTAAAATAAATAATCATTTTAAAGGCATAATACAATCAGTATCAGCAGCATACTGAAATAGACTATGCTGTATCTAGATGACAAGGCATATTTATTTCAGCCTTTTTCTCGATTCTGAATCCAAATAGCATTCACACATAATAACCGAAAATGGCAGCCATAGTCAATTTTTTTATAATCTATAATAATGATTACTAAAAAATTACTTTACATTAGATTTAAAATGATTTTTGAGCACACTAGTAATAAACAGTTCAGAATATTTTGTTTCTTCTTACAAAATATATTTCTATTTCTTTACACAAAATGACAACTAGATAAAAAAACGTGGTCATACACACATTTAACAAAACATTACTCCACATATTCTGCATGATATTTCTCTTGCATCATTTTTAACATAATATTTTGTCTCATCCTGTTTACTTAGATTCTTCTCTAGCCTACATAATGTAATTGTAATAAACCTACATATATATCAACATTATTATCAACTTGACAATTTTTTATACATATGTCACTACAGTATGAATAAATAATTCCTAAAAATATGTTCTGTCTTGATAAAATAGTTTTTTTCTCTTTTTTACTTACATTACATACGTGTAGACAGGAAATTTCACACCTTACTGTAAAATCTCCATATTTAAAAGGAATTTCATTTAGTGACTAAGTCAGAAGTCAAACAGCAAATATCAGTGTTATATTTTCAAATTTTCACAGGACTAGTTTCGATGGTTTTACCAAACCATTATCGTCAGCTGCAAAGGCACAAATGAATGAGATAGGATATAATGATCAGATAAGATAAGAAAGCCTGGATAAAGAAGAAAATAAGCGTGTCCAGCCATCGTTGATGAACCAAACAACCATAATCTTCTTTAAAGCCGAAGGCAAGATGATTGAATTGGATCGTTAACTGAACGAAAGACTTTAATGTGAATGCTCTAGAAAATCCAGTTCTCCAATGGAAGATGTTTTGAATAATTTTTGCACCAGAAAAATTGAAATGTGATTTCGGACCAACAATTTGGGTACAGAAGACTTGGTTTCCTTTTTCTAACATATGCTCATGTTACTGATGTGAAACTTTAAGCTCTTTAGTTTGCCAATGTACATTAAACCACCTGGCAAGGAATCCTATAAAACCCAGAATTCATATCCGAATGGGTCCTTGAGTATGGAACTCGGAATTTTATTGATAGGAGAATAACAACCCAAAAGTTAAATTTCTGCCAAAATATGTGCAATTTAAGCTAGTTGATGGAAAGGGGATGACAACATAATTTTTATATCTCTAAAACAAGAGTGTGCTTTTTATGTGTGAGATGAGAATTTTTTAACTGCTTGATTAAAATGTTGGGTGAAAAGCCCCTGTCAATAGCTATTGCTTTTAAATAATTTAGTTTAAATTTTTTTTTTTTTTTTACTTCCTTGTAAGAAGTAAAAAGGAAGTATTGTAATCAGAAATAATTTCAGACATCATATTTCAACAGAAATATCCATTTTGAGCATTTTCAAACCCATTCGGATGGTTTGTTACGTGGCATCTATACATACAGACAGAATAAAGGACTCTTTTTTTCCAAACCGGATTGTAAAATGGATTCAAAAGGGATTTTTTTTGTGACATATGTATGTACCTCGCATAAATAAAAAACTATTAGTTGTAGAAGGTGAAGATTTTGTATATGGGAATGCTATAAGATCTAGTTGTGCACCTCACTTTTTTATTGCAATTGGCAGCGCCAAATATACATACATATACCTATCAGCTTACCCTGCTTAAAAGTCCAGACTCTGCCTTTATTTTCATGATCGTTGGTCATAATAATCTACTTCTAATTACAGAAGTGTTTTAAATGATGAAATTGACCCAGATATTTAATTTCAAAATTTAACCCCCTGAATACTGGCACTTTATGCAGCTGCCTATATTGCTTATGCTTGCAGGTGGCCCTGAGTTATAACCAAAAGAATACTAGCCTATGATGCTCCTCCCCCTAAAAAAATCACTTCTTTGCAGCAATTGACAATATTTGACTGAAAACAAAATTCCTACGTATGGAGACTTTACAATATGCATTTCAAAGGAACACGAACATTAATGATTATAAGATCAATACTGCACTTCAAGATTCTTCACCAAATACTTTTCCAAGAAGTTTGGCTTTAATATCGTCATCTTTTTGCTTCTGTAAAACAGTTAAATGCTTTAATTCCTTCTGAATAGTATTCTGAAATGATGGGTCCAGCTCTGCAACTTTTTTGAAATCTTCGTGGGCAAGATCCAAGTCCCATATACCAGCATAAGCTTTGGCTCTCCTAAACAGTGCTTTAATGTTACCTATTTAAGACAGACATTTTTATAAATAAAATGTAGTTTAATTTTAGTAGAACTTTAAATCATTTGGATCACTCATTTTTCTCTATAGGTTCAATAAATGAAGCTTGTTGATAATTTTTTTGATGAAATCGTAAATTTATTAAAATGTACGTAAAAGGATCCAATAATATGCATTATTTTATTAACTGTACTGCTTTACTAATTTGAATCAATACGAAGTAACATCTTAGCTTAATATTAATTAAATAGTTACAGATTGTGTATTTTGCTTTAAAAAAATGTTTAATTTCACAAAAAGAAAAATAATATTGTATGTTGATTTATGGCCCATGCAAGTAAAGGATTTTTTCATTATTTTAGTTAAACTATGATTTAGTTGTGCATTTAGGAAAACAAAAAATAATTTCATTGCTTAATTTTGTCAAATATAATGTACTTTTGTGTTCTGTTAAGTGAAAATAAAAAATATTAAAATTTTTTAACTGCATAATATTTATAAGATAAACAAAAAATGAAATTCCTCACTTGTATTATAATATATATATATATATATAATATCTTAAAGCCTTCATTAAATAATAAATTATGTGGAATATTTTTTGAAAAATATTCAGATGTAATGTACTTCCCTTAATTAAAATATATGGAATTCTATCACGTTTTCCATTTCATATTTTATTACAATTTTTTAACTACAGGAAATAGAATAAAGTAAGAAACAATTTGATTAAATATCATTTCTATTTTACAGTTCAAACTTTAATGATAATCCATTTGATGAGTAGAACCTCTGAATGAGGGGAAAAGAGTTATAGAATTTTTTTTTTTTTTTTTTCTGTTACAAAGCACAATAAAACAAGAATTTTTTTTGAGTGTCAGTGCAAATTATGTTCACAAAATACATACTATATAAGATTTTTCTGTTTTTTAACACATGCATTCACTGAACATTTAAACTTATTAATAAACTTTTGGTTCAGATGTGGTGAGTGGTTTAAGCCACTATGCAAAGGCAATTTAAAATTGAAAGAGAAACACATCAGTGTAAAACTAAGCAAAATGTGGAGAGTGGTTTAAGCCACTATGCAAAGGCAATTTAAAATTGAAAGAGAAACACATCAGTGTAAAACTAAGCAAAATAGGCAAACTTCCACTAGCCCAGATTATGAATAAAACTCTTAACAAATTTGAGTATAATCTAGCACATTCTTTCTTCTTCAGAAGCAAAAAAACAAATTTAAGTTCGTGCAGATTATGAAAAAACTCATCAATTTTGAGTATGTTCTAGCATAAGTCCTTCTTCTTCAGAAGCAAAACAATAAATTTAGGTTGGCATAGATTATGAATAAAATTCTATTGATTTTGAGGGCACTCAAACACAGGACACTCTTCATCTCCTTTCATTACTGTTTCAACAACAGATGCTATATTTTTTATAATCAACATTTAGATGCAAGGCAGATTGAAAGGAAGGATACTGTTATAACATAATCTTGTCATGATTTCTACAGCTTCTCTAATTTTAAAGCTGATTTAATTGCTGTTATTAATAAGTTACAAAGTTTAATGTTCTAAGGAATATTTTACCAAGGATGCGCTATTTTCATTATATTAGTTCATAGAGAATTTCTCTCTCTCATGCGTAGCAATTCTTAATGATAAATTTCTATGTTGAACTAATATGAGTTTTAGTTTTTATATCTGCACTGGGGATGGAATGGTATCCATATCTGATGTAACTGTTGTATTAATATCTGACTTGTTCATGCTTTACAATTTTCAGATGGAATTGGGCTGGGTTTAGGACAAATTTATATTCAAATCTTATGAAAACTGAACTCATATCTGGGATAATAGGTTAGTGGGGAAACATTCCAATAACTCCTTTGTTTGGCAGAAATTTGGTTTGCATTGGTAGCAATATTATTTTTTCAGAATCAATTACTGAAAATTTTCTATTGATTTTACTGTTACGTTTTTCAACAAAGCCAGGTATGTATTTTTGTTTGTAGTAATTCTTTTTGTGATGCTCAGGTTTGGAACAAAATTCCTCAGCATGGTTCAGTAAAAATAAAAAGCAATTGTTTTGTGAGAAGAAAATGAAAATAGATCACACGTGATTCCTGAAAGTTGGCAGTTGATTACAGCTGACTGTAGTATGAAATGTATCATCAGTTCTTAAGATAAGGTAAAAAAGAGATAAAGGAACTGAATGCTTATTTCTTTGTTAAATCATATACTGGAGGTTAGACAAGATATATATGAACAAAGTGCTTTTCTTCTGAATATTTCTACAGAAAGGATAAAGATATCTAGAGTCCTAGGATATCTTTATCCTAGGAGACTTTTTTGGAAGGGGGGACTTTGTAAATTTTTTACCTGTTAGATAAAAATTTCAGACATAACAGAAGGCACTGAAACTCCTATAAAGAATCCTTCTTGGTACTTGTAGGATCATCCATTTGCTTTTAAAATTGTACATTTGCTGATAAAATCAACTTCGATATTAATAATAAATTTGGGTGTAAATTCTTAGTTTTTCAATTATAGTTTTCGCTAAATCATTTGGAACTCAAACATAGAAATCAATGACAGTAAAGATTTCACATCAGTAGTTCATGATACAACATGGTAACATTGAGATTGACAGCTTTCGGAATTTGTGTATGAAACTAACCTGTAAGTAAGAAATTAGGGCTTCCCTGCCTCACAATACTTAACCGCATTACAGGTTCCCACTCTCCTTAGAACGAAGAGCAGAGGTTCAACCTTCTCTCTCACCCCTTGGACAGCGAGATGCACCACCTGGCGTTCACCAGACGACACTGGTCGTTAATTTGCTACCTACCAGTCACTCGGGCTGCCTGTAGCAGCGGAACATTACCCAGACTAGAAACACGCCGTGCTAGGACGTGCCAGACCATTGGGCTGGCCAATAAGTGACCTTTCCGAAGCCTTCAGATTCACCAAGTTCATAAATTTTATACCACCATGGCTGAGACTGCCTAGGTACAGATCCTAGCAGTAGCTTCACACCTCGGGGGGGGGGACTAACCCATAGCATGACGACTTGATTTGTTATCCTTTGTTACACATAAAAACATACCTACAAATTCTCTGCCAGCCAGTTCATCAATAAAAATAGCACATTTTTTGGTCTAATCCATCCCAAAGCATCCACACTCAACAACTGAATGTGAGAAGGCTCCAAATCATCACTAAAAGGCAGCATAAAACAGCTTAAAAATTAGAGAAGTATTTAAAGTCACCACCCAAAAATATGTTACCAAAGAGATCTTCCCTTCTTCTTCAGCGACTCGACAGGCTGTGATGGGCCTTGACAAGTCTCTCTCCAGACATTTCTAGCCATCTGATTTTTGGATTCCCTCTTCCGAGTGCCTATTGGCTTGTACGTGAATATATTTTTGGTAATTCTATTTTTGAGCATTCTGATTAAGTGACCAGCTCACCTTAATCTTTAGATGCTGATAAAATTTATGGTGTCTAGATACCTGTATGTGCTGTAGATTTCTGTATTGGTTCTTCTTCTCTTGATGCCATCTATCTGAATACCTATGGCAATGGTTCTCGAAATCTTTCTCTCAAAGACTGCAAGTATTTCTTTATCCTTTTCAGTTAATGTCCAGGTTCCAGCTCCATATGTCAAAAGTCTAACTTAGTATTTGTAAATTGTCAATTCAGTTTTCCCCCCTCCCATAAAGTTTTGTTTCAAATACTTTTTCATACTAAAGAAGCATGCGTTAGCAAAAATAACTCTGTTACGAATTTCATTACAGTTATTGTTCTCTGTATTAATTACAAAGCCAAGACATATGAAACAGTCAATAACATCAGATTTATATTTATCAATTTAAGAAAGAATGATTAAATTCCGACTGAGTACACATATTTACTTTTTATCTGGTCGATGCCAAGGTGCATTTTAGCTTTTTTGCCCTCCAGTGCAACAAATGCTCGTTTGAGTTCTAGCAATGATGCCAATACTGTCCACAAATGCAAAAACTTGAATTGATTTGTTAAGTTCTTCCCTTGAACCTTCCATAATCTGAATGTTGATTCTGAATACAGAAACCTTGGAGAAACCAATAAAAGATAAATTATAGTGGTAATTAATATCCATCTGAGGTAATTATTTGCATGACAACTCATTAGATTTCTATTAGAGTATAAAATAGAGAGGAAAGTGATGATACCACTTGTTATACATATAAATTTATTTACATATATTATAGTGGCTTACAGCCGTATTTATTAGGCACACACCTTTTGCATTGTTAGGCTTAACACCTTTGCTGTTCCATGCTAATGTGAAGTTATCCAACAACTCCAGGATGCCTGGAGTGCCACCCAAGTGCTATCAATTCATAACACCATCTATTATAGTTCTAGTTAATGTTGTGTTGTCTGAGATAGCTCATCTACTTTTATTTCTGTTTGAACATGATTCCAGTGTATCAACCTAAAATATTTTATCTCACTTTTCAACTTCATTTTAACCCCCTGTTTCAGTTAGTTTTTCAGTTTGTTATCCATTATTTAAGAAAAGGAACCCATGTCTGGGACTTCAAAATCAAGACAATTTTATTCCAAATCTATACCAAACTAGGGTCACTCCTTCCTAATTTCAAATCAAAGTAGTTTATTTGTTTATGGCAAGCAAATAGGTTTGCTGTGTGTGAGTTTTCTGGTTTTCCTCATACGCAGCATAAATACTAGCCTGCTTTGCGCCAAAGTCATTTTCCTCTTTAAGGCAGATAACATTTTACAATAGTTAAACATGGATTTTCTCTTGCAGTCACAACTATGCTAAGTGTCTAGCACTATAATCATCCAAACAGTATAGTAGTTAGTGATACCAAATGAAATACTGAGGGGCCCAGATTTGAGTCCCAGAGAAGGCATATACATCTGTAGGCTTACAGTATCTATGGGGGGAGGGCAAGGAGTCATGCAAAATACACAGTGAGGGCGGGATGTTATCATTGCCCAGGTTCTCTCCAGATGCAGATATGCCATGAATCAGTTCCCAGGCTGAACCTCAACTTATCTGTAAAAAGCACTTTGCTCCACTGAAATCTGGTCCAAAGTGTTGTTGTCTGGATTAAGCCAAGCGTGCTTTCTTAATGTACTGCAATGAGCAGACCACAAACCGTAGGTCTTCTGGCATGCAGACCTATCTCATGAAGCCTTCCAGCGAGTGTAGACCATACAACTTGGGTTCTAGTGGCAGCATACAGCTCATGTGACAGCTGTGAAGCTGTAGCAGTCCTGTGGGATCTTGCTGAAAATGCCAAATAACAATCCTCATTTGTCATTGTGGATCTTGGTGAACTTTGTTTAAGTCTTCTCAACATGGATCCAGAGTCTTGGAACTTTCCACTAATTGCAGATGACAATGGGCATTAGATTCAGCTCTTCAGCCACCTACACTTGTGATCCTTTGGCCTGCCTCCAATCTACTGACAATTCTGCATCTCATTCTATCATCCATACATTCATGGCTACTTATTTTACTTGATACTTTATAAAATTCACCCAATTCTTGCGAAAAACACAGCAAATGTCATGAAGAAGTAAGAGCACACAAATCACCAAAAACTCCCTCTATGCTTATGTATTCAACTATGAATATTGCATAATTTTTTGTCGGCAAAATTGGTAACCTTAGTTCAATACTTTTCATAAAAATAGACATAATTTGCAAATTCTCTCAATCTTGTCCATGAGTGTACTTGTCTCGCACTAGAGGCCTAGCTTTTGGAATACCAGATGCAATGAAAAAAATTTGCAAAATTCTTTACATATATTTTTTAGATTACATTACCATAACTGTGCTCCATCACCATAAAAGAATTACAATGTCGACATTATTTTCAGTTACTAAATTCCTCACTGAAAAAAAACCTTTACAAAATTATCTTTTATTACAATGCCTGAAACATTCCTAAACTTTATTTATAGAGATAAATATTTTCCTTATAACTTCATTTTTACTTTACAGAAGAGGAAGAAGTCAAAAGGAGGAAAATATATTGAATAAGGAAAATGGAAGACAACTATCATGTTAATGGATATCAAAATGTGATAAATGCAATCTTGACACAAACTTGTCAGCAATCCTCCCCATAATTTGCTGACAATTGCTATAAAACAATTGAGTAGCACTGCAGACATCATACATATGATATTTCAAGATGATTCTACACACTTTTGCAAAGTTTTTTCAAATTTCTTTGTTAGAAGGACATCCAGCATGATCATCTTCTTCAGTTCACATTTGGTAACTTTTGAAGCACAGGCAAACAAATGTGGTGTTTGCATATATTTGAAATAATTTCATAGGTACATATTTGACAATAACTAATTATACAGCTGCTGATTTCATGATAACAAAACATAAAACTCAATACTTATTATAATCACTCACCAGGATCTTTTTCTAGCACAGTAGTTGTATATTCTATAACTGGATAATAGTCTTTCTGCATCAGCTTACACTGAGCATAATTTAACAGAATTGGAATTTTCAGGCTTTCCAAAGCTAACCATTCTTCTTCTCCAGGCTTCTCTCTATAAAGTGCAAAATACAAATATGTGAACTTTGGCACATTATGCTGTATTATCAAATACTATAATATCAATAACAAAACTTTAAAATAATAATAATTGCATGTAATAAAATCTGTCGGCGAAATGTTTTTGATGTACTCTATAACATAAAATTCTGTTTCTAATTTAACAACAACAATAATAATAATAGAAACGTAAAAAGAGTGAGATTTTAACAATCATCCAAAAGGATTTGTTAACATAACACTGAGCATAATTTGACACGGTAGACATGTTCTTGCTGAAGTCTACCAGTCCGCTGTTACACTCACTCCTGCTACACCATTTCTGTTTATCTTTTTAGCTTTATTATTAAACGTCATTCTCTTATCACTTATGTTATACACAATTCAACAGCAAAATTAAAAAATTTTTAAAAGCAGCATAGCATATGTTTAGAATTTCCCATACAGTGTTAAGTGTTGGCAATAATATTTCTATATTTATTTCAGCATTTTCTTAGTTCATCCTATCAATATTCAGTTTTCTTAGTAAGATGAGTAGCAAAATAATAATAGTTATTTAGTAAGATGGGTAGGGGAAAAAATTCCTGCTTTTTTTACTATCAACTTTTTCTGTGTTAACTTTTTGCTAACTATCAAATTCTTTATAGTTACCCCACATAAAATTCAATTCAATAGCAAAATCACAAAATATTTAAAAAATAGCATATTTTTAGAATTCCTAACAGAGTTTTAGAGATTGCTATAAATATATTTATATTTGTTACATAATTTCTTTAAAAACAAGCTGCCTAATAGTTGTCATAAAAAAGAAAAAACATATACTGATTTTAATAAGTACAGGTAGTGTAATTTCAGAAAAAATATTGAATATTTTTAATTAGACATCTCATGAATTTAATACATTTATTTAAATCAATCACACTAAGAAGTAAAAAAAAAATATATATATATTCTTAAGAGCTGTTTTTATTGCTTTTAAATCACTCAGTAATATTCTAAATTAAATTTGAAAGTAACTCAGCTATTACTGAATGGCAACACACTGGCAGGTGGATAACAACAGTATTTTATTTCTGGCCGTGACAACACACTACTTTCATAGAGCCAAGTTTTTTACTTAAAGCTGAATATCTTGCATTTTTTTTGAATGGCAAAAGTCTTGTGTGCTGGAGATAAAAATGTTTTACTTTGAACAGAGTTGCCATTACTCACTTTCTAATCATTGTGTTTGTTAATCAAAAATCCCCTAATGCTTTACAAAATATAAATAACAAAATAAATTTTAAATTAAAAAATTCAGGCTTCCAGATGCACATGTTTGAATGAAGGACTACATTATTCAAAATTTGATGGCTCTAAGTACCGTCGTTTTTTTTACAGTGCAAGGAACATACATACACACATGCAGATTCTTCATTATTTAATTTCTATTAAAATAATGCAAAGCAATTATATATGGCCAAAAATTTGAAAAGTGAAATGTAATTTATAGTGAACCAATGCAGTATTCCATTTTTAGAATAATACCCCTTTCATGCTAAAAAGTCATAGAGAGCCAAAAAATTGATTAACTGTGACAATAGCAACAAGAAGCTACAGTCTCGTTAGAATTTTCCAGATCTCTTAATTAATTAATTAAAAGGTCACAAGTGATTTTTTAAACTTTTTTTCAGGCATTGTTTAAGATTCACACAATGACTTCACTGTTGTTATAAAAAATCCCTTATTTTATGAGGTATGAAAATTCATTCCACCACAGCACATTAATTAGTTTTACCTTTATATAGTAATGCTCACTTTAAAATGTTGACTATATATACGAAGAGCAATATATGGAAACATATAGCTTCAACTTCCTTTCTTCTTATCCTGTATATGCATAATATCCATACATACGAATTTATTTTTTTAAAAAAATAACTTCGATTATTTTAAACATAAACTATTAGTGTGTTATAGTCATGATAGAAATTAATTACAGCTTTTTTTCTTCAGCAAACCAATAAAAATAATTTGTTTTCCTCTTCATGTTAAGTTTATTACTTTGAGATTATTTTACCCACAATTAATTTGTAAATCTGCCTAAAAGGGGGCAGTACATATTCAGTAACATAGATAAACTAGTCATGCTAAGCCTTGACTACTTTGAATATGTACTGCCCCCTTTAGGCAGATTTACAAACTAATTGTGGGGTAAAATAATCTCAAGATAATGGACTTGACATGAAGTGGAAGACAAATTATTATTATTGATTTGCTAAATTCATATCTAAAAAATTTCAATTGATCTTAAATTGTAAAAAATATTTGTAGTCGTCTTTATGCAAAGCATTCCTCAAATTAAACTTTAAATGTTAATTTATCTTGAATTTTCTTTCTTTTTTCTGGGACAGCATATATAAGCAAAATTTGACAATGGGCTGTTAACATTTTCCAATAGAGACTTTTTATATAAATTTCAAAAACACTACATTAAATGATAGAAATACTGTTGTATTAACTTTTTTGAAAAATTGACATTATAATACATAAGGTTCTAAGTTCTCTTCCTATTTCCTCATTTGAAGCATGAAATGATTTAAAGAAACAGAACATCTTAAAAAAAAATCGGTATTTTTTTATTGGATATAAATAAAACTTTCTAGTACAGCCCTTTCAAAGAACTTGAAAATTTAAAATTTTTCAAACAGCAAAATTTTAATACTTTGTTAAACTAATAATTATTACCTCAGTAACAGCTGTTCTATCCTTCCTAAGGCTTCAACATATTTTTTAACTGCCTCATCATACTGCTTGTTTTGGTATAATTTATTACCTATTTCTTTTAACTCAGGGATAGATTTAAGTTTTTCTTCTGGTTCCATAGACCAAGATTCTTTTTCATACTCGCCAGGCTTTTCCACTTTTAGCAATTCTAAAATATAAAACAAAATTTATTTATTACAGAAATTTTAGGACTTTCAAAGAATGATAAAACTCTAGCTCTGCATACTGTAGATAGTCACTTTGCTGAACTTTTTGATTTCTGCAATGTGGTTGCAAAATCATAAATTAAATTTTTTTTCTTCATGCGTGCCAACTTTTCAATACAAGTTCTATGAAGAGTTGAGTCAATAACAAAAATTATATACTTTCTTTAAAAAGGACCTCCAATGTCCAGGGCATCAAAACTTTGAAAAAATACTGGTTCATTTTAAATTATGTTTCCCACATGAGCAAATAACACAATTTAGCAGCTGATTTTGCTACTTGCTCATTTGATATACACAAATCAATTCTTAGGAATTATTTATGCAATCATCTTTGCTCTTATAATTTTCGAATTCTGCAATAATTAAATTTTTCATACTTATGTATTATCCCGTCAACCACGAAAAATGGCTACCATCAAACCATGAAAGCTATGGAAATCCCAACAAAGATACAGTAATCATTCCTGTAAAACTCTGAGCCGCAGCTCTTCCTACAACTCTTACAATAAAAAATTTGCCAATCTCTTTGCACAATCCACCAAATAGACATTGCTGCAGAGAGTACCTAGGCTTCATCTTGGACAAAAAGCTAACATGGGTCTCCCACTTAGCATATGGGAAAGAACCAACAGCTTAGTCAATAATCTAAATAGAATAGTTGACAGTAAATGGGGCCTGAAAGAAAAACTGTTAAAAGAGCTTTACCTGCAAGCTATTGAGCACATGATACTTTATGGTTGTCTGGTTTGGATGACTAACACCATCAGAGTTTGGTAGAAATTATAACAAGTCTGACACAATGCTCTATTCAAATTAAGCATAGCCTACTTAACAACCTCTATATCCGCATTACAGGTACTTTCTAGATATCAAAGCTCAATACCTCACAGGTAAAGAAAATACAATATCATCTCTTACACATAGTCACATCTTGATTATGCACCAAAGTGTCGAACACGAAAATCACAAAAAGCTAAATCCAACACACTCAGCTAACACACCATGGACAAAAACAACATCACAAGGTACTCAGACAGAAATCTACTCAGAAGCTTCCAAAGCAGACAATAGAGTAGGAGCGGCTTTTGTGACTTATGAAGACAAGAAAAAAATCCATCATGAAACTTAATGCCTCAGCAATCGTGTTACGGTATTTCAAGCCGAGGCGTACGCTCTCAAAAAGGCAGCCCTATGGGTAGGCACTTACTATACAAACCATACAACATTTCATACCAACAGTACGAGTGTTTTGCAAGGATTGAGCAAGGCTGACTCACCCTCCCCCTCTCATCAAAGCGCTACGTGAAGTCCAGGCTACTCTTCGGACAAGGAAAAAAAATACAGCTAAACTGGGTAAAGGCCACATGGGCCTGGAAGGTAATGAGAAAGCTGATACCTGAGCAAAAAATGCCATGATGAAAAACAGAAATTGACAAAGAAATCCCAGTTTCAGAAGATATCTCCAACACACTAATCAAAGGAACCTTTATGGTAGACTGGCAGGAAACATGGAGAGAAAGAGACACCAGGAAATTCACATTTAATATTTTTCCAGACACCTCCCTCTCATGAATAAAGAACAACCACCTCTTTGTCCAAGCATGCACACCACGGTCGCTTCCCTTCTTACTACACACGTTTCTTGCATTGCAACATCAAATGCAACTGCAGCACAAGTTCTGAAGCAGACACCATGCATTACTTGAGATCTTGTCCAGAGAGAAAGAGGCTTTATACTAGATTCTTCCCTTCTAACATCTCGGATGTCACAACCAAAGATTTTTTCACTGACTACTATTGTGTAAAGGGTATCCCAGCTATCATGACACAAGTCAATACAGGACGCTTCATCAAAGAAGTGGAGGATTTAATGCAACAGGCAAAAGCCTGGCCAAGGTCAAACACTCACATTATAATAATGTAAGTTCTGTAACCAAATAACTAATAAAAATATTTACTAACCTAAGTCAATGTATGTTGGAACCATAACTGGTTTTTTGTTGTACCTTATTACATGAAGGACTTGAGTCTAAAAAAAGCACAAAAAGATTTAGAATGGCAGCCTAACTGCCAAAATGATTACTAGTGCAATGATCCAGATGAAATCCCGAACCCTGTAATGACTACATGCATGGATAATTAGCATATCATGGACAGTTGTCTGGTATACTTGTAAAGAATTCATACAGGCAGTACAGACCCTCCCAACTTAAAATCAAATCATGCTGGGATATTTTTCTCATCTATTTGAAAATTAATAATATCGAAATATTACTTTGGATTATATTGTGTTGAATTTCATTCACATAGACAAGAGGGATGAAACATGATCAGATCTCAATAATTGTTGGAGATTTTATCAAAAAGAGCTAATACCCCTCGAAAAGTTAGCCTTTTTCCCCGAACAGCTTTAATTTTTATAATTTACATTACCAGTTTTGAAGTTCTTATTACAGAACCTTCTTCAGTTGCAAGAGTGAAAATGATGAAAGACAAGCTTGTGCTCACACAATACCAGTGAAATTAACAGAGACTTAGAAAATTCAAGAAAGTTTCAACAAAATATGAAACATAGTTGCTGGCGTCACCTGCTGATGAAAAATGAAACCAACAATGAAATAATTTCTTTAAAAGCTGTGGATAAATTCCAATCCAAATTTACCTTCATATTTCAAAGGAATTATTTTACACTGCAAATCCTAAAAATTAACACTGTTTACTGTTGTGTGAGCCTCTAATAACACCTATTTATTTTAAGAATACATGTTAGTGAAACTCTGTAAAGAAGAACTACGGTTAATACCAAACATAACTATTGACAGGCATGATTAAATTCAGGAAGTTCATGCATCTTCTATAGGAAAAGAAGAATGTGTAAAAAAAATAAATAAATAAATAAGTGGAACTGGATGCATCATTGAAATGGACATAAGGATACCAAACAGATGTTTCTCTCCAAAATTGGCAATAAGTTCCCGAATGCTGCCCACAATCACCGATGAGTTCATGACTTTTCAGTGAAGGTGTGAATAATTAGAAAGTACCAAATATTTAAATGAGTTTTCTTGTTTTATAGATCAGGAAAGCATTTCTGAATAAATTTTCAAAACTAAATGTACTTCAAAATACATACCCAGCTTAAACTGCAAGTCACAAGGATTCCTCAAAAGAATATCAAGATCTTTATGTCCAACTCCTTCAGTGAAAGCCATCATTCCACAACAATGTCCTTTATGCCCTTTCTTACTGTTAGCAATACCAGCAAATTCACGATAACTTTTGGACACCAATGGATAAGAATCAACACGCTATTGGGGGAAAATACTTATTTTATTATAAAAAGCATTTTTTTATAATTAAAAGCAATATCCACAGGCTAATTTATTCACATTATTTAGCTTACTGATATTTTGGTAATAATATTCTTGTACAATATACAAAGTAAATGTAACATATGATGATCTGCACAGGACCTAAATGAGTTTCACTTATTGTTAATAAATAACAATAAAATAAAAAAACAAGCTTTATAGCATGTATGTCATGTTAGCATGTACATTGTAGTTTTATTTTTAAATTTAAGCTCTTACACTTATCATACTTACTTCTTATGTTTATAAACTAGTAAATTCAGTGAATAAGCTATGAATCAACCTGGAAACTCTTCGGGATCAATAAAGTAGCACATATACACTTATAATAATCAAACACATACAAAATATTGAAACCTACACCAATGAGCTAAATTTTAATCATTTTAAAAATAAGAAATTTGAAAATGACATCAGTTTTTATGGCAGTTTTTCTTTTTTCAAAAGTTATAAAAATACCTTAATACAGATTATCTTACATAAAATAAAATCAACCTATTTTAATTTCTATATTTGTAAAATTCTCGTCTAAACACCAGTATCTATATTTAAAATTAACTCATCCAACAATTGACCATTCAATGTGATTGATACTCTCCTAGTGCTGTGACAATCCAGTTCCACAGTAGCCATTAAATTTTGGCCCATGAAACCTTAAGGTTCTTAAAATATTATAGAATTTTGATAATATGCTCAATAATATTTGATACACTTAAATCTCTGGCCAATAAATTAAGTACATTACGTACATAATCATAAGGTATTATGTGAAAAATATAGTTATCCCATCAATTAAATGTTATCCCATCGACCAGGAAACTCTTGCCTATCACAGTGATTATGGGATAACCAATTATGGATAAACGTAACATAACAGCATGCTCATAATATCTTAAGCCATTAAATTAATAACTGATTCTCGATAAGCTATGTTTTGTGTTTATGAACAAGGGTATAAACAAACTGTTATTGCATATTTTCCCCCTTGCATACTGGGGGGGGGGAATCTGAAAGGTTTCAGATTTTAACGGTCACCCAAAAGGGTTTGTTAAAATTTTTTTATGCTCTCGCTCACTCAGCTTGCGTTCTACTTAGTCTGCTGTTGCGCCCACTCCTGCTAAGCCATTTGTTTGATCTTTTTAGCTTCATTATTAAGCTTCAATTCAGTTTTCTTGGTAAGATGGTTAGAAGAAAGTGTTTTTTATCTTTTTGTTATTAATGTTTTGTGTGCTAACTTTATTAAATATTGTACTTTTCATACTTATGCTACATAAAACTGAATTCAACTTTAAAATTATCAGATATTTAGTACATAGAAATACCTTACGAGGGTTGTCTGAAAAGTTTCCGATCTTGATATGTAGATGGCAGCACTAATCAATGAAAATGCGGGAATTTGTTTGGGCGTTCTTGGAAAACACCCAACTATAATTTCAGCCATTTTGAAAGCAAGGTTTTTGTTTGACAGTTATTCCTGTGAGTTGGTGTGACTGTTTTTGTAAAAATAAAAAAAAAATTGAGTATTGAGCTGTCATTAGGCTGTACACGGGGACTCTGCTGTGAAATTTTGGGCAGCTAAATTTAAATGTGGCTGTACCAACTTGAGTGGCCATGAACGTTCAGGACAGCCAAAAACTGAAACCATTGATGACAACATCGCTAAAATTTACCAAATGGTGCTGCATAACCGTCGAGTCAAGATTAGAGAGATAGCAGAGGCTACAAGCATGTTCAAATGAATGCATTTGCCACATACTGAACTAAGATTTAGGTATGTGCATGCTGGCTGCATGGTGAGTGCTGCGTTTGCTCACTTTGGACCAAAAACGCTAACATTTTGCACCGCTCTGTTGCTGCAATTCAGGCATAACAAATCAGAGTTTCTTCGACGATTAATCGCTGCAGATGAAACCTGGATTTATCACTACAGAACAGAAACTAATCAATGAAAACAGTGAATGGCAAAGGGTCCACACAGTCAAAACAGTGGACGGCAAAGGGAGAATCGGATCCAAAACAGGCAAAAACATATGGCAAAAACATATCATAATATAAATAATTGCAAATATATAACTAAATAATAATAAGATTAAGAATATTAACAAAACATGTGAAAAATAGTTTATTAGATTTATGTTTAACTTAATAAACAAGCTTTCAGAAACAAAAATCACAGATTTATTAATGCAATTTTCTATTATTTGGCGTAAAATTGCTTAACTGAATTTTAAATCACCTCATTTAAAAAATATTTAGTCTTCCCTTATTTTCCATTCTAGTTCTGCATTCTTCAGTTATTATTATTATTATTATTATTATTATTATGTTTACTTGTGTTCTTGCTTTAACCTTTTTCTAGTGCACTTATTGCATAAACATTTATATATTTTAAAATACATTAAATAATTTTTGTGCATTTTTCCTTACATTATTTCTTCCTTACTGCACCATGCTTTATATAAAGAAACAATTAATTATCAACTTATTAACTTCTTTTTGTTACTGAAATGGATCTTGATTACACTAATCAACTTCCAATGCATCTTCAGTTATTAATATTGTTACAAATTTTGTATTTAAATAGGTAATTTAAGTGAAATTATAAGTAAAATTGTTGTACTTCTTTTGTATAATGTAACATGAAAAATCTAAGAAATAAACTATGTTGGAAAAGTAAGAATACAGGGGCAAGTTCATTTAAAATTGAGTAAAGGGGCATCTCGGTAATTTGTCAAGGTATCGCCAAGTAGTTTTGGTGACTAATTTTTGCCGCTAGATTTGGAAAAAAACTGCCAAAAGTCACTACAATTGGGGAGCCTGGCAACATTTTGGTCCAGTCTCTGTATCACCATAATAGCTATTGTAATCAAATAAATACAATGAATACTATATTAGCTGTAAACGTAATTCCACCCTCATGTTACCTTCCAAGAATTTCAAAAAGCAGAAAGTACAGTCAAAAGTCTTTAATCCGGATGTCCATAATCCGGAATGATATATAATCCAGACTTCAAAGCTACAAACTTTCTGCGCATGCGTTAATGCATTACGCATAATACCTTTATGCATGCGCATCTGCATCTACGCATGTGCATATTACGTTTACGCATGTGCATTTAATGTATAACGGACGGTATAAGCTAAGTTAAAATTACTTATTATTTTTTGAAGACTGTTAGAGCAATATTATAAAAGTAAGCTTGAACTTTTCGATTATGTCAAAAAGAATTTCCGATTCTGGAGCTACCAAAGCATCTACAAAGCGAAAGCATGTTTTGATGTCCATCAAACAGAAAGTGGAATTCCTGCAAAAAATTGATAAAGGCATATCTTTGATTCTCTAACCATTCCGATGTTTATCAATTTCATGCTGCTCTGCAGGGGGGGAACATTGCGGCGCTCAATGAACTGGAAGTTGATCTGTCAGCACTATCCCTATCTTCAGGGCAGATGTTTTTATTTTATTTGGCTTATAATTCCTTACTAAATGTAGTATTTTATCTCGATGTACTCTGATATGATTTAAATCAAATTCCTCGTCGTTATAAATATCACGAATACACATCAAATATGTTTCTGGTTGCAATTTCCTAATTTCGACTATGCGTAATGTATGCTTTACGCATGCGCGCATTAAAAGAAATGTTTCATAAAGTAAACAATTAAATATCGAGCTTTTTTTTTTTTTTTTTTTTGTAAATTTTTATACCCTTTAGATCATAATTGCTCTTTATTTCATAAATTACGTTTTCATATTTTTAATTTTAGAATTTCTGCATGTCATCTTACCAGATTTAAACTGATGATCTACAATCCGGGAAAACCGATAATCCTGAATCGCCGAAGTCCCGACGAGTCCAGATTAAAGACTTTTGACTGTACTAGAAATATCTCTGTAGCCGGATAAAAACTATTTAGGGCTTGAAAGAGCATCTGCTCTCAGTTACTGCTGTTTTCTCTGCGTGAATTTGGAGTACTAACATATCTCTGGGTAGCTTTCTCTTTAGCTGTGTATTGCCTTGTGTTTAACATTCATAGTAGTTTCAAAATTAATTACTTATTCTACTCTGTGGAGTTGTCCAACTATCTTTGTAGAAAGTTCCAGATCTCTGAAGTGTTATATATGATAAAATAAATCTTATTAACCTACCATTGGAGCTGTGTGCATTCAATCTATTATGGACCCTATGCACGCAATAATATTGTCAACATAATTATGCATGAGTCCCCATGTGCATGGAAGTGACATAGTCACATGCATTGCATTAGCATGGCTTACTTAAAATATTTCACACAATTTTACTTCTTGAAAAAGCTTTCATTTTGGTATTCAGTAATAAAAATCTCTTTAAAAGCATTACCGATTGATTTTTTAAAAAAATCCGATTTTTAACAAGTGATTTTTTTCCAGTACTTAAAATCATTAACATCTGTTTTTAACATGATTTGTAAAGAGAAAAGATGGTTGAAAACTCAGCTGGATGCTCATCACACAGTGAGAACCATCCATCAGAGCAAGACACTGAAATGTCTCAACAAGACATTTGAACCCAATGTAACAGCCACATTTTATTTGACTTATATATGAAATACTCATTTCGAAGTACAATTCATGATCGTGTGTTACCACAGGAAAAATATACACAAAATTGCTAAATCTAGCAAATGCAGCCCTTTAATTGCAAATTGAGTATACATTTATATATAAATGGGCATGAATTTAGACTGCATGTAAATTTAGATCTAGATTTTTAAGTTAACCATTTATTTAACCAAGGAAGCATTATGTTGGAAAGCACATAAGTGGGATGAATTGCAGGATGGTTGGTTGCCGACTTCATTTGGCTGTCGATCACAAATATATTTTATGGATCCTGATAGTAAGCATCATACTCAAACAATAGAAAGGCTATGGGATAGTACTAAATGGCATAATAACAGACATCAGGGACACTGTTCGGCAGCACACTGATTTTTATCTGTCCAAATTTATGTGAAGATGTTTGAAAAAAAAAAATGAAATTTTCTCTGCAGTGTTGGAAGACATCAAAAATTTTATGCCTCCCATTTCATGTCAATTATGTTTAATCATTTTTTTTTACTTCTTTCTTATGCGTTATAATAAAAAATTGCAATATATGAAATTAACCTTTCATCTAAATTAATATTTTTAGATACTTAGTTACTAGCATGCTTTCGTCCTTGCATTAGGTTACCATAACTATTTTGGGCATCATTGCATTAACAATAGTTTGGTGATTTTTTTACATTCCCAATAATGGAACTGTACCCATTTTGCATCATCATATATACAGTATAAACATTTTTCCCGTATGTTACTTATAATTTATTTTACATTTACATACAGTTTAAATAGTCATAATTTCATTCAATATGGTAACATTTCATTGTTGGCACTTATATTCTGATAATATTTTACTTGTATGTATATGGCAAGCAATATACAGAGAGTGTTCACACATTTTTGTAATGATTTTGCAAAAATTTATATATAAACAAATTTTAGAATTTTATTTTTTAATATGTTCAGTCTGATAGTCCTCTTATTAAACTATCATATTACATCTTGATTTTCAAGATAAAAGTCCTTTTCTTAAGACATCAAGTTTGATTTTATTCCACTCCTTCACAATCTTCCAGAGACCACCCAATGTTTTGGGATGCCACTTATATGGAGCTTGTTTCAAAAGTCCCAATGCACCGTAATCCATAGGATCCAATTTAAAAGGAATAGACCCAATTCTGGTTCCATTTTTTATTTTTTCAAAAAATAGAGCATTAGATTTAGAGGTATGACTTGGAGCCTTACCCTGATGGAACTTAGTACAGTGAAGATTGTTTGGATAAAGAGATGGAATTTCTTCTTTAAAAATGTATGTTAAAACATATTTCTGATAGTAATCCAAATTAATTTTGACTTTTTTTCTATTTTCCTTATTTTCAGCTTTTCCATTTTAAGAGAATCCAGTAATAACCATAAAACCTTTAAAAAAACGGCTGATCTTTAGAATATGGTAACTGGTAGTTTGGCGACATTTTGGAGGCGATAAAGGTTACTACCTGGGACTTTGGTAATAATGTGAGCAGTACTCAGTTCCGATTACGCATTATTTGTGTGAGGGAATAAGAGATCATGGGATATGTCATGTGATATTAATGGACGAATTACAGTTCTTAATCGGAAAAGGGGGGAAATCGGGGAAAAAATCTGGAAAATTTGTATTTGGCTTTATTCTGTGTTGTGTGTGAAACAGTGTTCATTAATTTTTGGAATTTTTGGATCCCATGGCCCTAACTAAAGTGAATTCGAAATGGGTATTAGTGGGATTGAAAGGGGTAGTAATAAGTGTTTCTTTAAGGTTTGTGCGAGATAGAAGTAAAGATGTTTTATTAAGTTATTTATTTTACCTGGTAACCTTGCTGTGAACTATAAGTATGATTTAAAGATCCTGAAACAGGTGCACATACGCTTGCTTTTTATTTAGCGGAGGAAATAAGAAAAGTTTATCGGACACATAATCAAGATTCTGAGAAGATTAGGTAAGTTAGTATTTTTAATTATTTGAGGATATTAATTTTTATGCATTGTTCTAAATGTAAGGTGGAAGTAAAGTAATTTGGTATTATTGGGAAAACTTTTATTAGCAATGATTTAGTTTAAAGTAATTAGGATTGTAAGCTAATTTTTATTAATTTAATGTATGTGCTGATTTATATTTAAGTAGTGTTTTGAATTTAAGTATATTTAATTAAATGATAGTTATTCTGTGAATTTTATGTTTGTAGGAATTTGGTATACGTTTTAGTTGAAGTAAACGTGCATGGAAATAATTTAAATATTTGACACTAAGTATTTGTAATGTTTGCGGTATGAATTCTTGGTGACATTATAATATAATAGATAATTTAGAGGTAAAGTTTTTGGATATTTTATTTATTTTATACGTGGAAATGTTCATATTTGGTAAGGGTATATACTTTTTCGTTATTAGGTAATTTCATATATGTTCTTTTTAACGGGTTTAAAGATTCAGAAAATTGTCATGCATTTTCGCGAAATTTTTCTAATTTATGAGAAAAAAGGAGTGTACATGGATATGGTGAAGAGTGTGCGCAATGCCATTTTTGTGCGATTCTGGGATGTTTTTTTAAGTAAAATTAAGTCGACGTGAACATGGTTTATGTGTTATTTTGACAAACGCGTAAGGAGTATGGTATTGTGCAATTTTTCCCAATTTTGCAGTGAATATTTGTCATGATTAAGCAGTTTTGTTAGATAAAATTTCTAGCATAAGTGTAATTCGGCTAGTAGATTGTTGGAAGAAGTGTTCAGTAGATAAAAAAAAAGAAACATGTCTTTACTTCGTGAAGACAAAATGGCGGTGGGAAAAAAAAATAGAGGGTTGCTGTAGGAGAGTTGGTCGCCAAAAAATCGCCAAGTTACCATAATCTAAAGATCAACCGAAAAAACTTTCCTTGTTTTCTCTGAACCAACATATCAAGTCTTTTTCTCCTCTTTTACGATGGTAAATCAATCTTTTTTCATTACAAACAGATAAGTATATCCAAGCCTCATCCATTATAATATATTTCCATTTTTCACCTGCTAAATAATTTTCATGCAGCAATCTGCCCACAGTCTTATGTTGAGGAGCATGTTTCAGCGTTAGGGGATTAACATCATGTTTTTAGTTTTGATTAGTTTTAAATCTGACTTTATAATTTTGTTAACATTTCCTACAGAAATATTTAAAGATTTTGCAATAGCTCTTTGGAGAATTGCATTTTCCTTTAAAACAGGAGATGCAACTTTAGATTTAATAAAAGCTGTATCTACATTTGTTGCATATGCATTTTTTGCCTTTTTCTCAGTCAGGTGTAAACTTTGACATTTCTTTCCTTTCATATTAATTATGTCACTTATTTTACAAGTAAAAAATATTAAAACCATGCTTTTCATATATTTTTTTATGAATGAATAAGAGTATTTCTCTTTGGACAGTGCGAAAATATAGCCTTTGATCCATTGCTCATATTTCAACAACATTTTAAAGAAAAGAATATTTTTAATGCTACAGATGATAATTAAACCTTATTCATATTTGATGCCAGTCATGTTTGTATTTTAAAATTAATATTTAAATTCATGGAGAAAATCAAAATCATTACAAAATGTGTAAACACCCTATGTATATTGATGAATACTGATAATATCTTCACACTCACAATTTGTAAATTAAGTTAACCCATGAAAAAATTGCAATGATATGATGTGCATATGTGGTTTTTATAATAAAATTATGTTTAAAAACAAATTTTGCTTAATTATTTTAGGAATATTAAGATGCATATTAACCAAAGACATAGAATAATTAATGCATTTTAACATATAATGCAGTAAACTTTATACATGTTTTATAAAAGCTAACCAAAATATATATATATATATATACATATATATATAAACTAAGTGGTTACCCTACACTCTTTTTTACAGTAAACTCAGCAACTTCATCAATGGTCATTGTTTTGACACACTCCTCCCAGACTGGCATTTTAAATTTTTTTCCTAAGATCAACTCCATAGGCCTTCCCGTTTTTTTACTATCATCAATACAATCTTTTATTTTTCCATCACCGTTGAGCGTATGCGTTTGAAAATGAAATGTGACCTGCAGGGAAAAAAACATAAAAAATGATAAAGTTTATTTCTGCATGATAATTACACATAAATGATGAAAATTTATATGCTGTAAAAGTATACTTCAAGTAAGTAAAAAATTCCCAAGTCATAAAATCTTTCTGAACATTAATTCTGCTCTTAGGTCCTGAAGAGATAAAGGATCAAGAGTATACAAAAGAAAAAATATACATTAAAACATAAATATTTTTATTAAATACTTTCTCTCTCTTTTTTCTTTTGAAAACGTATTTGGCTTAACTACTCGGAATTTTTAACAAGTTTGAGATTTTACTTTCATAAAATTCCTCTTCAGATCTCACTGCAGTGGTACAACAATTAGTTTATAAAGCAAAATATATATATAATAATAAACAGTTATATATGCACCTTAGAGCCTTCAGGAAAATCTGGTGGATCACTTCTCCCCGCATGTAAAATTTTCTTCTGAACTCCTTCAATTAACTGAGGAGAATCCATGTTATTATCACTATTTTAGTAAACTGACACACATTATTAAACAGATAAACACGACAGTAGTGTTGCCAAAGTTAAGTAAAAAAATATGACAGACAGACAAAGTAGACAGATGTCTTGTTTTGCACCCACTAAGTCTTTCTGCACCGATGTGCGAAAAATCAAGTATAGGTGCGAAGGAAAGGTATATAGAAAGGGGGGCTTTGAGGAGAGTAAAAAGGAACTTCGTACATTTTGTACGAGTTCAAAAGGCCAGAAAGAAAAGATGGGACAAAATAAAATTTAAAATAAATGGCCCAAAAAATAATAGAGGGGGGAAAAAAAGAGCCTATAGAAAGAAAAGGAAAAGAAGTAGAAAATATCCTAAAAATACGATTGTGTCCATGAGTGTAGTTAGAAAGAGTTCATTTTCAAAAATTAGTGTCTTTAAGAAGCAAACTTTAGCTAAGTTTGAAAAAAAAAAATGAATGAATTCCTACATGGTAATGTGTATGCCCTTATCTTGAGACCTAACTAGAAAAGACATATATCATCACAGAGATGTACATAATATTTTAACTAAAGTAACATTAACTATTACCGTTCCCAAAAAATTCATGTATATTTCAGAAAAACAGTAATTGACAAAATCATAAATCCATACACTGTGTGAGAGCATATCAGCAAAAATAAATTATACAGTTTATTTTTCTTAAATATAGTTTTAAATATAAAATTAATTTATTAATTTAACCGTTGTAATTTATTATAGTACAAGTTTAACAAATTCCGTCACACTGTATTTATATTTGCTCATAATTCTAAGTTTGATACCTGAAAAAAAAAAAAAAAAAAAAAAAAAAAAAAAAATCGTGGATCTTAGTTACAAAAATCACTCATCGATGGTCAAGAGATCCCCATTTTTTCCCTCTCAAGAAATTCCTAAGCACGAAGAGGGGGGGGGGCTCCGAAGTGAATTGCTGATAAGAGCGGACTACTGATAAGGAATGTGGAGTCTCTACGGAATAGTTACGAAGAAAAGAACCATATGACTTGCTACTATTACTAACTATTGTATAATGTTAGAATCTTATGACAATAATAAATAAAGAAATTTAATGGCACTTTAGTGATATGTTACTTATCTGAATATTCCGTGTCAGGGTTTCTTTTGTATTTCTCGTGTAGATAGTAAACAGGGAACAAGATGATTGAAGATTCGAAGAAGCGAAGTTTCCTTTTTCAATTGGATGAATGAGACATTGCATAGGAAAGGTGCATTAAACCTTTTTAGAGAGTTGAAAACATTTAAAAATTTCGGAGCTATGTTTAGGCACTGCCTCCAGCTCCGGACTCCAGCGGCGTCCCTCATAACATTAGTAATCACTCAAATCGTAAAAAAAATATGGGACTCAGTAATAGCTCAGTATAGGTTTCAATCACGAAGTATAATGAGTAAATCTTCATACTCCGTGGTTTCAGTATAGGTATATACCATAATAAAGCTGCTGAAGTTCTGGTAAAAACGTCTATGTGAATGAGTTGAATATGATTTGGATTATTAGTACAAGTAAGAAATGCTGAAATAAGTAACATCAGTATTTGATACATATAACAGTATAGCATAACAGCTACATAACATTGTTTTTGCGTTCATGTACAAAGAACAGAGGAAAAGTTTCTAAAATATAATTTAAATTGGGATGGATATTTAAATTAGAGGAAGAATATGAAATACAATTTTAATAGAAAACACCACGAAGGATGGAATCTGAGGGTTTTATTCTCCAACTTCTAGCATCTCCAGAAGTCTTAAAAGTTTCGATATAAAAAAATTATATAAACAGAGATATAAAATAAGAACTCACATATTGCATCTGAATAGCAAAACTTAAAAAAAGGAACTATTCCTATTAACTGACAAACAAAAGAATGTTAGGATTCATTACTGAAAATGAAAGCTGTTGAACTTGGAAAAGTTCGTAGGTTTCTTATTCATCTCTAAATTTGCCTACTTTTGAACATAATTTGAGATACTTTTATTTTAATTTTGTATACAAAAACTGAAATATAATGGCAAAAATTCAGATACTTTTACTTTTATTCGATTTATTTTTCTCCCAATATTATTCTTATACTCCGTCATTATTCGCAATAGCTTGATGGCATCAAAATTTTTCTTTTGTGCCACCTATCTGTCGTCAATAGTTGCGAGTTACTTTTTCTCGATTATTTTATCAGGAATAAATTATGTGAAACTTCCTGTGTTACTGTGATATCCATTGTGTCTTTAACTGCAATTTTTTCCAAAGCTTCCTATTTCTGTATTTGTGTCTAATGAATAGGAAATATGAAAGTGAAATATGAATGATGATATCTTGTTTGTGTACAAATTTAATGAAATTTCATTGTTACGAAATTCTTAGCATTTGTCACAGGTATTGTCTCATGTTTAATTACGAACTTATAGTTTAAGTACACAGGTTTAATTACATGAATTGCTATTTACAAGTTGTCTTTGATTATATTATATGAGTAAAACGCTTGTTTGTATTTTCATCATTTTGCTTGTTTGGGTATGACGTCCAGTACAGATAGGTTTGTACTGCGAATATTCAAGTGCAGCATATTACTTTTCATGTAAATAATCTGTTTTATTTTCTTTTATCATAATTCTGTCAATGGAGTTGTTAAACTTAATATTTTAAATAGTTGTCATGTTTACTTATCCAGACCATTTAAATATTGCTGGGTATTGCTTATTTTCATTTAGTGAATTAATTCTAAATTGTTTTGTACAGCTTTGTTATTTACTGGACCCGTGGGCATATTTAAACTAGAATCTTTGCGTTTAAGAATAAGTGTTAACTTTTCCCATTATTTTTTCACAAGTTTTAGGTATTCCTACATATATGGATTTCGAAATTTAAAAAATTCTGAATGCAGGTCAAAGATACTTTTCTATTTAATGGTGCGTTTCCTGTATTAATATTTTAGTGTTAATGAATATGAGTTTCAAGCTGTGTAAAAATGACTTTGTTGTTAAAATATACTGAAATTTTTATGTTGCACATAATCGAGAATTTACATAGTGTATTAAACCGTGTACGGAAAGTGTTTAACTAGTTTTCATGTGAATAAAAACACGTAATTGTTTTCTAATGTATTAGGAATTCAACCTTGACAAATAATTTTCAGTATTTTTAAGATATGTAGCATTGTGTTACAGAAGTTAATAGTTTTTATCAGAATATAAGTAAATATGTATATTAAAAATTTTTAAAAGAGCATTAAGAAAAATTCAGAATTAAGTATTTCATTTGTAGTGTTCATTTGTTGATGTGGGTATGGTAGTCTGATACATTTAATTGACCGTATTATTGAATTTAAATATCTTTTAGGTTCTGAGAATGTAAAATTTTTCAAAAATCCTTGAGAATGCATCATAAATATTAAGCAAACATATTTATTTTGATTCAAGAGAAAGATGGGAGCTAAAATGAAATTGCATATCTAAATTTGAGTTATCTTAAAAAACTGCTCATTTTTTATTTACAATTCAGTGTCTGATAAGTTGGTGTGTAAATTACTAAGATTTCGTGTTTCAATAGCAATTATTGCTTAGAAGATTTTTCATTTTTCAGAATAAATAAAGTGAAAAAAACTACTATAAAATTCTGTGAAAGAAAATGATTAAGATACATTTTTTTTTTTACTGTCAATATCTTTATTTCTGAGCATTTAGGAGATATAAGCCATCTGCTTTACATCTTACCAAATGTTACAAAAGCACTTTACATCTTAGCATCTTACAAAATTGTCTCCAAGACTGTCAAGCATCTTTTTCTTGCTTTCCAAACCAAATTTGAACATTGTTGTACTTTTGTTTAATGTTACTGTCCTAGCTCAGTAAATATATTGGTAGTACCAAAAAACAATATTATATTAAAATGCTTTTAAAAGTCAGCAGGTAATGTATATATATATATAATATTAGGAAACCTTTATGGTATCTTGAACAAATGTCATCTGGTACAGAAGCTGTTTATGCCTGTTTTTAATATTTCCCCTCCCCTTAAATTTAGTTTTCAATCTGAAACATCCCATAAGAATCACTTGGCAACAATTCATCATATTGAAACAAACTATGAAACTCCTTTCTTCACTTTTTTTTTTTTTTTTTTTGGTACCAAAGTAAAATAATTACGGACAATGTTGTTATTCTGTGTATATAAACACAGAATAACAAAATTGTCTGTGAATCCAGTAGTAACTACTTCAGTCTTTAAGAAGAATTTGGTTATAGCATGTAGTATAAATTATTATGCTTTGATGTATATTATTTCATTAACATTAATTTTAATTCAAAAGTAAAGTAGTGTTTTCTCTATCACCACTTTTTGAATTATTGGCAGATTCAAATTAATTAAGCATGTAAAATAAGAAATTGAATAAATTCAGGTTCGTGCAAATTGCAAAATTACAGTACGTTATTATCTGACTTCCCAAGAAATGCTGGGTGCTGAGTAAGAACTTCGTGAATTTGCAGAAAATGGTTATTTGTCTGTTCTATATAGTACTGTTGGCTAAAGTGCAGAATCGCCCACTTATTTGTTTGGCACTTTTTACAAGAGTAAGAAGAATTGGATTTTTGTCACTTTTCTTTGACTTTTAAAATGAAAATAGGTCGATGTGTACAGGGATAAAGTCATGGGAGTGCGCAGTGCCATTTTTGTGCAATTCTAGGATGTTTTTTTCAGTGAGAATAGGTCAACGTGTGCATGGATATCGAGTATGTGCAATTCTTAAAAATGCGCCAAACAGTGGGTGATTTTGCACTTTCTGCATACTGTTTTGTTATTTTTAATCCAAATGAATAAAAAATCTGATGTGGAACCACGTAGTTTCCTTGTACACCATTTGTTTGAACTTAACTTCCTTGTATTATTCTGACTTAATTAACTGATGTCTCAGGGCAAGTTGAAAGTGACATTAAAAATTAAAAATTTTGAAATTAAATATCCTGTTCAGTTAGCAGTCAAACTTCTTGAATTTAATTTTTTTTCTTTACAAGTATAAAAATTCTCCAGATATAATTGTAAAAATCAGGAGGCAACATTAAAAGTTAGATTTTATTATTTGTCCAAAATAAATTTTTCTTAAAATTGAAATTGCCAAAACATGAATATTTTCATCATTTAAAACACTTGTATTGGAAGTATATGTCCACGACCAATGATTGTGAAAATAAAAGCCATGTAACAGGGTTGAATGTATATATGTAGTATTTTTTTACTACCTTGTATCTGAATTTGGGAGTAAAATGGCTGATTTTTACAGTTATTGTAGTTTATCTCGGGACATTTAAATAAGGAACTAAAACAACAGAGATGTTTGAAAATTTAATAGGATTGCTTTAATAAATTTTAAGTATTTCACAGAGATGAATATTATTTGAAATTTTTTTCTTCAAAAATTTAAATGATTTTCCGTAAAAAATTTGTAACCATATTTTAATTTGGGTTAGAAATAAGACTTTTTTTTTTTTTTCGCTAATGGCATTTGAAAAAAGGTATTGATTTATTGGGGGGGAACTCGGAAGTTATATTAGTAATGCAAATATTAATTTTCTGAGTTTAAAATGCTTTTTTATTTTAAAGGGGGTGCGATTTTTTTTTTTTTTTTTTGTTTGAGTGAGTTGATTCATATTTCTGATAATTTTGAAATATCTTAACAAATTTATTTATAATTATATTTGTGTGAGATATTTTTTCTAAATTTTCAAGCTTTATTTTTAAAATATCATTGTTCAATTTGTCTGTGCAGGTGATTAAAACGTATATGCTGAGAAAAAATCAGCTGTGCAGTTTTGGAATTAAACCTTTAGATTTTGTTGAAGATGTAGCTAGTGACCATGAATTGGAATCACCCAGCTGCGTTGCCGAGTTTGAAGAGGAGGAAGAAAATATGGATGATAGTCTTTCTGAAGATGCTGCTGCATTTGATGACAATGCGTTCGATGATGATGATGATGACCAGTTTGATGATATTCAAAGTGCAAACGACAGTGGAGTTGTAAGAATAAGTTATTTTATTATTTTTCATCAGTTACTGATATTTTCCCCTTAGATGTTTTTATGAAATTATACTACCAAATAAAGGTTATATGACTTAAAATTCTTAAAGTTAGTTTTTGGAAGCAAGTCAATCTCAAGGGAGTATGTATTTAACACGTTGAGTGCAGCGCCGGTCCCTGGGGACTGGCAGTAAACTTTCCGTGTGGCCGGCTTCGGTCCCTGGAATTTTCGTTTGGCTGGCATCGGTCCGCGGGACCGACAGTATTAAAGTTAAATAATAAATATAGTCTCCATGAAATGTGATCAAATTTAGTTTTAATGAAATGTATTGAAACATTCTAAACAAAAATACGGCTTAGCTCGCTGCCAGCTGAATGGAAAGGACAGCAAATTCGGCGCCGTGCTCAACGTGTTAAAGTTTGTGCTGTAGTGTTAGGGGAAAAGTTTTTTTTTTTTTCCTCTTTCCAAATTTTGATTATTGAAGTGGAGGAAACATTTACTAAATATAGAAAGTATGTTAGTTATATTCTTCTGCAACAATGGATGTTCAGTATTATCATAAAGAGAAACTAAAATGTACTCAATTATTTACCATTCAGTAAAGAATCCATATGCAATTTGAGATTTCTGGGAATTTGCATGATGGTGATCGAAATAGCTGGATTTAGTTCTTCATAGTCATTCATGTATTGAAATTCCTTAAATATAGAAATTGGCTGCTGACTAAATATACCACTTGCTTTTTAGCTTAATAAGGAAGCTGTGTCTAGACTAGTGCCAATTTATGTATCTTTTATAGCAATAAGTAATATGGTAGACTAGTGCTTTAAATTAAGCACTTTATATGCCTCTCATTTATACTTTATTTCATTTCTATCCCAGTTTATTCCAAAATATTTCATTTATAGAGGCATAACTTCAGTTATATGTTGTTTTTCTCCTGATGCATTCGACGTTTCTTTTATTGTTAAAACAGTCCCTTTTATTCCATAAATAAATATTTGGAAGCTGTATGTTAGTATATAAGGAGGAGAAAGGAAAATGGGATGTCTCAGACTAAATAAGAGTTCAGATCCAGATGGTGGTTGGAAGAGTGCTATTTAGGAGGGGATAGACATTAAATCCTTGGCTGGAATTGCTTTACTCTTATATGATAAACATGTTTAATTGGACTGCTATTTACCATTAATGTTTTACACTTATGTAAAATCGAATGGTGCATCATCAGGTGGCATTGGAAGATTTTTTTGGTACTTACGTATTATTGCAACCACCTTAGTAGAAATTTCCAAAGCTTCAGAATATACCCAACTTTGATAAGCATGCTCATAACAGTTATTCTGACAGCCAAGCATGTGACAAATATTGAGTTTCCAGCATCATTATTTTTATATCAATTCTTTTGTTGTATTCCAAGCTCCAAGGCTTTTATAAAAAAAATTGTGATTATCTTTTATCAAAACCAAATTTTAAATTTGTCCTTCTAGAATTTTTCTATAATGAAAGAAAGAGAGGTGAAAATTCTGCAGGAATACATGATTTTATTGCTAAAGGAACATTACTCGAATTCTTTTTGAAAGTGATTGTTAAGAAATTTTCACCGCAGCGAAAACAAAAACCCGTTTGTAATCCGGTTTAGTGATTGCCTTTTGGAATAAATATATAGTTGAAACATAGACTGTGAACATAATAATATGTATGTATGTAATATATATATTTTTTAAATAAAAGAAATTATTCTTTTTCTTCTGTACAATTCTCCAAACTGCTCCAAGGTGTGGTTGCAAATACTCAAGTACCGATTTTTTTCTTTTAGAAACAAGAATTTTGCTTGCATATTAAAAGCTTGGTGGAAAAAATGTTTATCTACTTGTATATTAAATATGATATACTCTGAATTTTTATGACTTTAATAATGAACTGTTTAAAAGAAAAACATAAAATAGAAGAATAGTTTGTTAAAAAGTATATAAACTGTGCTTTACTGTGTTACTTTTACTTTTCCCATTTTACAATAGTGGTTATTTAATATTTTGGTACATTTTCGTTATACCGGCGCCACAAAAAAACATGAGATATTTTTTATTATAACAGTACTAATAAATTTTAAATACATTATTATTGAAATGCAATTTAAATTTTAACAGGGGCCATGAATTTAGTGATGTTTTGCAAATTTTTTTCAAATAAATTTGAAAAAAAAAAATCATTCTTCTGATGTAATCGTCACAACATACTCTAAACGGTGTGATTCCGGATGGTGGCATGAATGGCCACTTTGACATTTATTACGCCATTTTTCACTGTCCTACATTCTTTCAACGTTGACTGATCCGAAACAGCTACAAGAAAATATTCTTTTGTGTTTGTACAAATGCCTCCAAAAATCCACTGTGAAGGAAGTGCCTCCTCATCTTTAGGTAAGTCCCAGGTTGTGAAATCCATTCTTCCCCTATAAAAAGTGCTTTTAGTCAAACAGTGTATGCAAAGAGAGTTATCTATGAAATTATGTTTTGTGCAGTACTAAAAAAAGGCTGCAAATCATAAAGCGTGAATATTTGGCTCAGTTTCGCTCATAAAACCGAGATGATTTAGGTGATCACATTGTTGCTATCTTCGGCACATTACTATAGTCAAAAGTTGTTAATTCGGACACCCATAATCCGGAATGATCTATAATCCGGACCTCAAAGCTAAAATCTTTGGCCATGCGCTTATTTACGTATGCGTAAGACCTTACGACTGCGCATATGCCGTCTGCAAGCCCAGAATACGTTTTCGCTGCGCGTTTAATGTATAACGGACGGGACAGTAAAATTATATAATTATCTATTTCAGTTAATGTGATGATTGCGTTTCCTTAATCTTCGAATTGGATCCGGCTTATTATTTTTTGCAGGACTGTAAGAGCAATTTATAAAAGTAAGCTTGAACTTTCGATTATGTCAAATAGAATTTCCGATGCTGGAGCTCCCAAAGGATAGAAAACGAAGTATGTTTCGATGTCCATAAACAAAAAAGAATTGCTACAAAAATGGATAAGGCATATTCTTTGTTTATCTAACCGTTCCGAAATCGTTTATCAATTTCACGCTCTGGCGGGGGGGGGACGTCGCGGCGCGCAATGACTGGAAGTTGATTTGTCAGCACTATCGTTATCTTCAGGGCAGATGTTTTATTTTATTTATTCGGCTTATAATTCATTACTAAATGTAGTATTTCATCTCAATGTACTCGTCTTTGATATGATTTAAATCAAATTCCTCATCATTATAAATATCACGAATACAAAAATCAAATAGTTTTCTGGTTGCAATTTTTCTAATTTCGGCTATGCATAAGGTATGCTTTACTCATGCGCGTTGAAAGAAATGTTAATAAAGTAAAACAAATAAATATTCAGCTTCTTTTTTGTAAATTTTGATACCTTAGATCATAATTGCTTTATTTTATTAAATTACGGTTTCAATTTTTCATTTTATAATTTCTGCATGCCATCTTACCAGATTTAAACTGATGATCTATAATCCGGAAAAATCGATAATCCGGAATCGCCGCCGACCGACGAGTCCGGATTAAAGACTTTTGACTGTAGACATTTTAACAGTGTTTTTTATTGCACCCATATAACAAAAAAGTGCCAATATTTTTAATATTATGCATCTTATTTTATTAACAGTATGAATTAAAAGTATTCTAATTTTAGCTCAAAAGGAAGTCGGAAGCATTCAATGACAGCAGTTTTGGAAAAAAATTATGCAAGTCCGAATATATAGAGTAAGTTAATTAAGTTTTCAATAGCATTTCAAGCTTTCAACTTTGATTGTTCTTATAGTAAAAATATCCCAATCAATTCTTTTGTGTTTATAAACTTAGCTAAGTGCATTACAAAAGTAAAATTAATTGCATTACTAAAACATATGCTAAAAAAATTTTTTTTACATTAATAAATGCACTGGAATTGGAAAGGTTTTTTTTAATAATGTTCTGATTATGTCAGTCTATCATTATGTACTTATTAGATTATTTTACTACAAAGCCTCACAGATTTGATGCTGCCAATGGCTGCCAGAGCCTATTCTGAAAAGAGATTGGACTTCTATTTTCCACCCGCAATTTTGAGGGAAAGCATCCGGGGGGTCAGGGGTTCTTCCACCCCTCTCTTCGCCCACTAATCCACACAAGAGGACTTTCGGCGCATCGCGTATTTAGAGTGCCGCCGTGCTGCACAGACACAGTACATTTACAAACATCCATGTCTTACCTGGGCCCTTCGATACCATAGTAGGCTCCCCTAACCACTATATATGCTGACCACAGTGTTTTGTTCTATCATGTAGTTTTTTAATTCAAGCCATGTTCTCAAGACTTTGACATATTGTCAAAAATACTGACTTTTTTTTAATCGAGTGGTGGTCATTTGGCCTTTTTTTCAGCATTGGCCACTCCTAAGTCCAGAAGTGATGGCCATTTTATTGTGGAGGCACATAATAGATAGCCACCGTTACCTGCTATGAAGGGACAGGCAATTTTACATTCATACCTTCTCTGGGATTCGAACCCGGGCCCTTCAGGATTGCAGTCAGCTCTTCTAACCACTATACCATCTTGGTGGCATATTATGAGACTGTGTAATTATATTTGAATTAATGTACATCATAGTTGATCTGTATGAGTCACATAACACTATCAGGTCATAATTTTCTAAAGAGCGTCTGATGATGGAGACAGTTTGATTTATTGTCTCGAGATACCCAATTTTTCTGTAGGGATATCAAAGCTGCTCATCAATTTCATGAAGCTTTACCAAACATATACTTGATAGTAAAATATTTTTAACTTTGTTTTGAATCACTTAAATGGTATTTTTTTTTTTTTTTTTTTATATAATTGCAGTTAATATCTTCAGTGTACTGAGAAAGGAATTGGAAGTTTTCAAGATGCTTTTATTTTTGTAGTTCTTGGTGAAAGATACTGTTCGTACCTCAAAAACCTAAGCTTTCTACTAATCAGTTCCATATACAGTACAAAGTCTGTAATCCGGACATTCATTATCCGAAATGATCTATAATCCGGACCTCGAAGGCACAAAATATTCAGTGTACTGAGAAGGGAATGGAAAGTTTCAAGATGCAAAAAAAAAGAAAAAAAAAAAATAAAAAATAAAAGGGGGGGGGGGGGGGGGGGGGGGGGAGGGGGGGGGGGGGGGGGGGGGGGGGGGGGGGGGGGGGGGGGGGGGGGGGGGGGGGGGGGGGGGGGGGGGGGGGGGGGGGGGGGGGGGAGGGGGGGGGGGGGGGGGGGGGGGGGGGGGGGGGGGGGGGGGGGGGGGGGGGGGGGGGGGGGGGGGGGGGGGGGGGGGGGGGGGGGGGGGGGGGGGGGGGGTGGGGGGGGGGGGGGGGGGGGGGGGGGGGGGGTGGGGGGGGGGGGGGGGGGGGGGGGGGGGGGGGGGGGGGGTTGGGGGTGGGGGGGGGGGGGGGGGGGGGGGGGGGGGGGGGGGGGGGGGGGGGGGGGGGGGGGGGGGGGGGGGGTATTTTTGTAGTTCTTGGTAAAGATAAGTTCGTTACCTCAAAAACCAAGCTTTTACAATCAGTTCCCATATTCAGTTACAAAAGTCTGTAATCCGGACATCCTTACCGAAAAAATCATAATCAGGAACTGGAAGGCAACAATAAACAAGTATGCTTTACCAACTAAAGACAATTTTGACTTTTAAATCTTTAACATAAAATCTGCTGTGTGGAGCATCACAGATGGGAGGAGTGTCTCCAGATTACGTTAAAAAGTGCTTGGCATAATTTATGGCCAGCTACCGGATTTCATGGTGAGCACGATGAAGATGATAGCTGCGAATTTGAAGGTTTTCGGATATCTCAAACTAAAGGTGAAGTTCTCCAGTTAATGGATTTTGTAAAGAAATGTGGTGATGCAGTAATAAATGAAGATGATATAACAGAAGTTTTTCAATATGCTGACAATGCCCTAATCATCAATCAATTAACGGACGGCGAAATCTGTACTATGGTTCTAGATCTAGAAAATGCCTCTTCCAATAGTGAAGAAAGTGACAGAGAGGTTAGTGAAAATGAAAAAAATTCGATTGACAAGTTAGCCTGTACTCTTGACACAGCAATTACAGAACTTGAGCAGTGGAACTTTGTAACTGAATAACAAATATCTGTTTATAGAATTAAAGAAAAAGTATTAGCACAAAAAATGAAACAACTTACATTGAAAGAAATGTTTAATAAAGTAAACAAATAAATATTAAGCTTTTTTCTTTCTTCTTTCTTTCTTTTTTTTTTTTTTTTTTTTAAATTTGATCCCTTTAGATATAATTGCTCTTTATTTCATAAATTATGGTTTCATATTTTTAATTGTATAATTTCTGCATACCATCTTACCAGATTTAAATTGATGATCTATAATCCAAAAAAATCTCTAATCCAGAATCGCAGAAGTCCCGACGAGTCCGGATTACAGACTTTGTACTGTATATGGCAGATTAGTATGCATATAATAATAAACAGGTCCTGTAATTTATTCAGTTTCATCAGTGTTTCTTAAACACTCGTATGCCATTAATTGTAAGTTATACCACCCAGTTACTTACTACCAAAAGGGGAAAGCAACTGGTTTTAAGTTCAAGAGAAAAGCATGCACTCAAAATAAAATGAATTATTTCAGAATAATTAGTAATTTTGAAAAGTATGTGGTTCTAAGACGCCATTCATTTTAATATGTGCTGTTAGAATTAAAGAAATATTGTATATTTTATCATATGCTCAATGTCATGTATTTCAATCTTTATTTTAACTGTGATTTTTTATAATCGTCTTTAGTGAAAACCCTTTTTCTTGGCAATCCTTTATATTTCATTTAAAAAGTTTTATTCTTTGTATATCAGATGTTTGAAAAGCATGAGTCAAATTTCCTATTATTTGATTATTCCATGTCCATGATTTTAGCCATCTCTCTTCATATGTTAATGGTATTTTATCTTTGTTGATTTTTTTTTAATTTACTGTAGAAAATTCTTCTCAAATTTGTATATTTAATTCTTCTCAAATAGTTGCTGTTTTAATTTTGTTAGTTTTTTATTAACTGAATTTTTGTCAAATGACTATATACATTAATTACTTAATTCCTTGTTTTTGCTGTAAATGTGATTGGGTTTTAAAATCTTAACACCTGTTTGCAGTAGTGAAGATGACTCCAATAGCCAAAATGAGTTGGAGATGTTTATGCCAGAGCCGACTGACTGTCAGCCACCTATAACAAGAAAAATAAAGCCTGTTACAGCACCTACTCCACCAGATTTAGATATGTGGCTTTCTAAGTTTCAGGTAAGATTTTCTGTTTTTATTAGAAATTTACTTTTGTGTTGCAAATGAAAAAATATTTTCTTCTCCACTTAGGTATATAAGTATAATTTAAACATTTACAAAATTTCTTTTTAAATTAGAATCAATAAATTGTGAGAAAACATAGCTAAGGATATTTAAAGCCAATTCACACTCACATGATCACTTGTTAAGCGTTAAGGCGGGAAATGGTTACCAATCAGAAAAAAGCTCAGGGAGTATTTTCTGGATGGCTGGAGACAGCACCAGTTCACTCAACTTCAACTTCTTTGTGATGTCAGTTTCAGATGTCTCATTTCAATATCCACAGTTATGAATATACTGTAAACAATTCTTGAGAAAAATATGAAATCAGATAGAATAATTTTAAAAAATTCAGATAGTAAAAAATTTTTAAGTTAATACATTAATTATGTAAACTATTTAAATGAAAATTCTCAGATTTGTTAAAAATATTAAATTATAATTGTCAAGCATAAGAGAGATACAATTGAAAATTTTTACACAATAATCTACAGCAAAACATTGTTGCAAGAAAAGGATATATTTCAAATTTATTTTGAATTTAAAAGTCTGTACCAATTAAGCTTGTTATAACGGACTCCTGTTGCCTTATGAATAAAGAAGTGTTGTTGCCCTGAGCTAAAGATTGTACATTCAAGTCCCCCTAGGAGCACTGTTGTAACTGAGTTGGCACTTTTAGTATGTTAATTACAGAAATGTTTGTCACTAGGTTTAGAACACTACAGATGCATATTCACTTTGCTAAACATGAATATTAAAAACCAGTTTTTTAATGAGGACACCATAGCATTGAGGTTACACACTGAAAAGAAAATTGAAATACTACCAGATGTTGCAAGTTCGGGCCTTGCATTTTTCCTTTTCTAATGACCATGTGAATTCACTAAATTTTTATCTATCACAATTTTTTTTAAAAAGGGGTCCACAAGGATTTTGCATTTATTTTTCAATGATAACAAATATTATCTTCCCTTTCTGGGCAGTATTATATGAATTATCCTTCTTAAAAAAGTTAGTCTTTGGTGCTGTTCATAAGACAATCTGTGTAAAAGCCATTTTGGCTGATGCTAGATTTGCAAAAGCATTAATGGTATAACATTTCCTTTCTTTTAACCCCTTCGAGCTGGGTAGCGAAAACGCGCGCTTATCGTGGAGACCGGCAGTGTCTTCCACGAGCGTCTCTCCAGGGCCGGGTACTTTTTTGCTACTAAGTCTAAATCCATGAAATTTTCGAAGTGTTGTTTAATAATGCTCTATAGAGTATTTAAACGGCTTATGCTTTATAGATATTTATATATATATTATTTAATTACCTTATTTGTTTAAATGCATTTTACACATTTTATTTTAATTACTCACCATTTTATGACTTTTAACATATACATCTGAAAACTAAATATCTTACTTAAAATTCTTTTCGTATGAAAAATTTGAAAACAGGGATCTAAACACAGTCCTACGTTACATTCCTTGAACTCGTAATAACTCATTTGCCGTTTTGGAGGATTTGTCCGGGAATGTGAACAACGAAGCATCATCATCTCATTTCTTATCAGTCTCTTATGAACAAAGTTTGGAAATGTCTTTCAGTTAATCTTCAGAATTTCAAATATCTGAAATATTTTGCATCATTTCTGCTATTTCATGCTCTGTTAAACATTCGAACGCTCGACATTGAAACGGTAAAAACAGAAAGAATTCACGTCTAACAAGATCTAATTATTTTCTAAAAACTGAACTGTAACCCGAAATACTCAACGTTAGCGCATATAAAACTTCTACTTACAATAACAACTACCACGTGCAATAAGTGCGATTAAAGAGACGTCATAAATCATGCCATTGGAAACATTTAGTTCCCGTTTGTTTGTATCAAAAAAACGTATATGTGAGTCATGCTTCTCTCATTTCGAGTACAAGGTCTAATGTACATGTATCTGAAACCATATGGACATACAGTGCCATCTTGTCGCAGAAATTATAGTTTGAAAAACGTTCCAGGCTACTGGCACAAATACGTGACAGTCTGTAGTAAACGCAAAAATGCTCTTGCACGCCTGCGTGTCGGCCGGTAGGTAAGTGTGTTCGTTGTTGGCACGTATACGTGACAGTCTGCGTGAAGGGGTTAAACCTAATTTAAAAAATTTAGGAAACCTTATTTATATAGAAGGGAAGCTTGTCAATATGTAACATTAAGACAAAATTCAACCTTAGATTGAAGGTGATTTTATGAACTACTTTTAGGCATTTTCGTGGCTTCATGTTTTCCTCAAAATGCACAATTATTTTTGCACAAATTTTCACCGAAACAAAAATTTAATCTTAATGATAATTTTTCATTAGTTTGAACAATACTTTCATTAGTATTAACAAATTTAATAATTTTTAATTCAATTTTCAAAATAGCAAAGAAAAGTAAAAAATTAGTTTCTTCTTGTTTTCTCTGCTATGTAAGAACTTGTTGACTCTGCTGACTGTATATCATTTCCAAAATTTTATTTTGCCCGAATGTCATTTAAATTACATTAAATGTTATATGTTAGAAAGGAATATGCCATAACTGAATTTTTCATGAACTGTGTAATCTAAGGAAATAATTCAGCATAAATAGAGCAAATATTTTCTCATCTTTTGAAAATATCCATTTAAAAATACACAAGTTCATGCATGCAATAGAAAAAATGTTCTGCTTTTAAACACTGTTCCATGGTAATAAAAATCAGTTTTATAATTCAATTTCCTGTTTTTAATTCAGTTTTGTTTCCCCTTCTTTCTAAATAATAATGATATATGAACTGAAATTCTGTTTCAAATTCGATTTAAATTCACAGATGTTAAAGCATATCTCATAGGAAATATTTGTGTGCATTTGTGTATATATGTACATATAAAATCAAAAAAGAATAATTAAATAGGTTTTAACAGTCCAGGAGAACTTATTAACATTATTGCATACTTGTAAATAAATTATATTTTATAAAAAATGAAAATACTTACATTAGTAATATAACATTGTCACATGAATGTAATAAACTGTAGATGAAACAATGCAAATACATTTGAAATAAGTTTTAAAAAAAGTTTCTTCAATTTCTTCCACTTAAATGAAAGATTTTTATTTTTTGGTGGGAGGACTACTTTTTTTCTGCTGTGAAAAAATACCACAGTTTCATTTGTTAGTTTTGCATAAAAATCTCCAGAGGTGGTTTATTATTCCATTATTTTTCTCTGGTATTCGGAGATTTTCAAGGAAAACTATGAATAAATCTAGTTACACATTTTATTTGTACAAGAGATTTTCATCCACTGTTTCCTCTTATAAAATTATCATATTGTGGTGTATGCCTCATTTTCTTTTAAACTTATTGTTTATGTTCAAATAAAAGGAAAGGAAGGATAAAATTAAATACTACTATTCAGTGTTTAAAAAAAATATGACCTTCACTTAGTTTAATACTGGAATAGTTTGTTCTTATTATTAACACCTATGGTACTAGTATTTATTAGCTCAAAATTTTCAGTTAGTTTAAATTAGCACCAGATGTGCTATTAGTCTTGAAATTCTTTTTTGCTCAAATCACTTTTCAAATTATTAACACTAATTGTTATCATATTTTATGTATAAAAAATTAAATAATGAAGAATCTCTATGTATGACTCGCTGTTTTTCACTGTGGTAAAGTGGTGGGACCTAGAGTCATAAAATTTTTAATAAATATTGTCCTCCAAACGAACATGTGCATTTCGAAGCCCAAATTTTGAATTTCAAATTTGTTTTTGATTAATTTCATATTTTATGCAAATTTAAAAAATTTTTGTTCAACATACTCAGTGATTTTGAAAGCAAGAAATAGTAACACTATTAGGAAAAAAAAAAATCTTTAACTCCAGTGTGCCACACTGTTGCCATTTGGCAAAAAGTAAGATATTTATCTTTCAATTTTAATCCACTAATATGTCTGTTTTAAAACAATATGTTGTCTGTCACTGCCTCAAATAAAATGCTTATTATCTTCACACATTAATGTGTTACCATTCAGTAAAGCGTAAGATAATCAGTTTTCAAATTTATTTATTTTTTCTTATTGAGTAGGGTATCAAGTGATTGGAAAGCAATAAATGCAGTTATTAAAAATGTTTTTCTACTTTTTAATCTGATTATTTTAAATAAAAACCATTTAAGTTAGGCGTCTCTTTAAAAATATTAAATCTTTAATCAAATGATACTGGCTAGATGCATGAGAATAATTATACACATTTTTATGATAACTCTTTTAGGCAGCTGCCACTTAAGTGGCTAATTTTTAAAGAAATAATATAGCAAATATAAAAAAGTATATGACAGTCTTTGCTTTTAAATATTTTTTTAGTTTGCTCTTTTAAATTTCATGTGGTTTAAGGGCAAAGAAAGCACTTCTTAATAATAAAGCTGAAAAGATAAAATTGTGTTAGCAGGAGTGATTGGTAACTTTCGGTGCTCAAGTAAGAATATAAAAATCCCCATGGTGTGGCATTAAATTTCTGAATTCTTTCAGATTTTATTTCTTTAAAAAAATATTTTAGTGGAAAAGAAAATTTGCCTTTTAGCCATTAATATGCTCTCCTCTCCTTTTTTTTTTAATATATTTTAAAATTTTGTTGTAAAAAAAGTCTGAGGTAACTATAAAAATTTCCCGAGTCTACAACTAACAAAATATAAATATGCTGTTTGCAGTTCTGAGCTAAACAGTCATGGAATAGGTTTATAAATTAAACAGTAATTCTTGGTAATTCAAGGTTTAGTCGTGTATTTAAAATAACTATTCCAAATATCAATGCTAGGAGAAGGAAGATAATTGCAATTGTATTACTCTCTGGTAAATTAATATACAGTGCTTTGATTGCAGGATTTTTAGTTTTGCTGTTTAAAACTCTGCATTATTCAGTGGAGGTGCAGTGCCTTTTCATTACTCTGCTTTTGGAGATAAGATAGAAAATCGATATGTTCTAACGTATGAAAATTCTCTTCATTCATTTACACAAGAGAGAAAAAGAGAAATAACACTGCAAATGCACAGTGGAAAAAATCTGTACATTTTTATTTAATGTTTATAATGTTTTACTGTATAGGATTTTTCAATTAAACATTATCATGTTAATTTATGTTGCATGAATTTACTTAGTAAAACGCCCACCAGTGGCCGAGCGGTAAAGACGCTGAACACTGGTAGTTCGGTCTGAGGTTCGAATCCCGCGAACGGGCTGGCTGCATGGGCGTTTTCGTGGTTTTCCCCATGTGTAACGTGTATACGAGCCAGTTTCCTTTAAAAAGTCCCGCAAAGGCATCCGTCCCTTTAGGCAGATAGCCCTTGTGTGCTTTGCCATAATTGAATAATCTTAATCCTTACTTAGTAAAACCAGAAATACTTATATTGCTGGCCACATGCATTTCAAATTCTTTATTTAACTGTTAGATAAATGGTAGTCAACCCAGATCCTTTAATGTGGATTTTGTAATCACACCTTAGCCCTTTTGAGGCAGTGCACCTTTGTTTAAGAAGTTATCTCAGGATGGATGGGAGTCTAAAGGAATCGTCGCACAGGACAGAGGTTTCTCTTCTCTAAGCCTAACTTAAGGAGGTCATAATTTTGCCTTAACCTATTATACATATTAAAATTAGAATTAATAAAGTTTTCTTATTTACATGAATATATATAAAAAATTTGATTACTTTGAGAAATAATTTTCAGAAGCACTATTCAAATTAATCCTAAGTTTTAATTAACAAAATACATTAATAAACTTTAAAATTAATTTTAAAAATGCAAGAAAGACTGTTTACAAGAATAAGTAACAAAGTCTTTCAGAGGAAATGGAAAGCAGGCACTCATTGAGCTCGGTCTTTGACAAAATGTCTGTATCAGAATTGCTAGAATAGAAAATGAATCATCACTTTCATCCATGTTACTAAGTGGCTTATTTACCATGCTAGTATATCCTTTCTCTGATAAATAACGTTTTCTTGCCATAATAATTTGAAGTTGAGGATTTCCGAAATAAAAAGGTGAGTACACTAAATATATTCCTAAGCAGCGCTAAATTAGCTGAACCACACATCGTAATCTTGAAAGACCGAACATAGTGGCAAAAAATAAATGAGATAATTTTTTAAAAAGAGGAATCAAGTGGATATCAGAAATGCGCATGTTTACATCACATAGCGAGTTCAAGACCATGATCTGTTTGTTTACTGTACGTTTTCTTGCCATAATAATTTGAAGTTGAGGATTTCCGAAATAAAAAGGTGAGTACACTAAATATATTCCAAAGCACCGCTAAATTAGCTGAACCACACATCGTAATCTTGAAAGACCGAACATAGTGGCAAAAAATATATGAGATAATTTTTTAAAAAGAGGAATCAAGTGGATATCAGAAATGCGCATGTTTACATCACATAGCAAGTTCAAGACCATGATCTGTTTGTTTACTGTACGTTTTCACTCCTCCCCCACAACAACTGACATCAAAGTCTGGCAGAATGTGATCAGACTGAAGGTCAGGATCCTCAAACTGGGTTCATTTCAAGAGTGATGGGCACAGAATGCCATCTAGTGTTCTTTAAAAAGTTGTTCAGCTTAAAATGCACATATGCGTTACTGGTCCCCTAAGCTTATTCTCCAGTGATGCTGAATGGAACACTCATCCAGAAAAGGCTAAGAATTGTTCTTGTGCCTTATGGGAACTAAGTATCATAGCATCTTCTTGGTGAAATGCATAAAAAAGTGTCAGTAAATAATGAAATTCTGAACTGTATGTGCTTATTTTAATTATTTTTATTGTTCCGAATATTTATTGCTAAAATATTTTTAATTATCAAATAAGCAGGGATAGCATGTTTTGTTCCTTCTAACAGTGTTAATAGTTTAATTATTTACTGTAATTAGAAGGAAATTTTTAGCTTTATTGATGGTGTATTTTTATTCGTTATTCAAGGAATGGAGCAGTGGTGACCGTCTTACAGCATTAGACAGACTAATAGAAATTTGTGAACCGGCTCAAGTACGGCATATGATGAATGTTATAGAACCTCAGTTTCAACGGGACTTTATATCTCTTTTGCCTAAAGAGGTTTGTAAACAGTTTATGAAGTGTCAGTTTAAAATCAGTTTTTTTTTTATTCAGGATTTACAAAGCTTGATATTTTAGCAATTTTATAGCTGTATTAAATGGTAGAAAAATTTCATTTTCTGACCTGATCTCATTCATAACTATTAATATTTTGTATATCTGAAAATATATTTCTTTAGTACTTGTTACCGTGACTTTTAAAAGAAAAATAATTGTGGAGTTTTGTTACCATATATTTTTAAAAGCAAATATGTTACCATATATTTTTAATCATTTTCATTAAAATCAGTTTTTTTTTATTCAGGATTTACAAAGCTTGATATTTTAGCAAGGTTAGGTTTTGTTACCATATATTTTTAAAAGCAAATATGTTACCATATATTTTTAATCATTTTCATTAAAATCAGTTTTTTTTTATTCAGGATTTACAAAGCTTGATATTTTAGCAATTTTATAGCTGTATTAAATGGTAGAAAAATTTCATTTTCTGACCTGATCTCATTCATAACTATTAATTTTGTATATCTGAAAATATATTTCTTTAGTACTTGTTCAACCGTGGTGACTTTTAAAAGAAAAATAATTGTGGAGTTTTGTTTACCATATATTTTTAAAAGCAAATATGTTACCATATATTTTTAAAAATATTCAGACACCCTTCTTGAGAAATCAGTGTGGCTATTATTGCAATCTGAAGTATCATCAAATAAGATAAAAGCACTGGTAGTCATTTTAGTAGGTCATATGCCTTGCATTAGACTAGAAGTTCTCAACCTTTTTACCAATGCTAGGTCATCCCCCTTCCCTTTCCAAAATTCAAAAAATACATGTACATTTATTTAGATTTAAATAATTAACAGCATATTAGGAAGTAGTTCAACTTGGGCTGACTGCATCCCCTCTCTCCTGAAAGTATAAAATTCTTCCCTGGTTGAGAACTCCTGCATTAGAAAATGAATAAATCAGAAGAGCTAAGTTGTTGCAATTATGGCATTATTGTGTAGTGCCTTCATTGCAGCAGATTACTTTGTGAAAAAAGTATTTCTAGTACCTGAGCTGTTCTTCTGTTTATGAGGAGGCGTTAAATATAGGTTTCTACTGGCACTTGCAAGCCTGATATAAGCATGGTCAAGCCTAATATAAGCATTTGAAGATATGCAAAGTTTGCTGTTTCAGTAGAAACTCTTTCTTTGGAGTGATGTCTGATCTAGCAGTCTGATAGGTGTGTCTGTGTGTGACACATGACAGGAGAATACTTTATATTTGAGTTAGTTAATGTCAGTTTCGAAGTGTAGTGGGGACATAATGATTGAGCTGTTTTTAGACCTGGAATCCTTAGTTCTTAGAGAAAGAAAACAGAACATTGTATCATGATACTCTACACAGTTCTGCATTTTCACTACTGTGGCAGCAGTTCGGAGGACGAACATTTGTGTATCGACAGAATGTTTTCTTTGCACTGTAAAGTTTGTGCTTCCTTGATCCGAAAACTGAAAAGTACTGAAAAATTGGACTGACCTTCACAGAGCCCTAATCACAGCTCCTTTGACTACGTATAGGAAGGAATGGAATTTGTGTATGCTCAACCACAATGCCATTTTTCATTGGCCAGATTTGTTGCCACTTTCGGTGGATGAATGGAAGGCACTTTCTGCAGACATATATCTAAAGGTAATGGGTTACAAGCAGAGGCAGTCTGTAACTGATGAAAACAGTAAACCAAAGTACTGCTAATGTATGCCACCATATAATGTCTGTAAAAGTAAATATTTTACAAATTTGAAATAAAATTTGTATGTGCAATCTTACCATTATATTCACCATGTTACATCGATAACTCGGACTTTTGAAGTTCATATTACCTAAACCTGTTAATTTCAAAATAAAAAGTGTGAACTGTACATAAGAATATTTTAATTTGTTTACTTGTTTTTATTTGGCCCTCTTATAATTTAAAAAATGTGTACACAATGTAGAACTGAATTTTCTGATCATTATTTGAAATATTGAAGGGGGGAAATATGTTTATTGTATGTAATATAAAATTTATCCCTTTTATTGTGTATATGTTACCAAAATTAGAAAAATACTTTTCAATGAATAATTAATAAAACCACAAATTAATTTTTGTGTTGAAAATAAGTTTTAGATTTAAATGTTAGACATGAAAATCTAAATCTGAAGTTTTGCATTTCATTTAAATTGATAAATTAATTTCTCTTGCAGCTGGCTTTGTATGTTTTGTCCTTTTTGGAACCTAAAGATTTATTAAAAGCTGCTCAAACATGTCGATATTGGAGAGTCTTAGCCGAAGATAATCTTTTGTGGCGAGAGAAGTGTCGTGAAGAAGGAATAAACGATGTACGTGAAGTCCTCAGTAGACGACGTTCTCGATGCAATATTAGTGCCAATAATACTGTCAATTCAAGTCAAATAATTCCTAGCCCGTGGAAGGCAGCATATATGCGTCAGCACAATATTGAAATGAATTGGCGGTGTAATCCTATAAAACTGCCTAAAGTGAGTTTTTTTTTTTTTTTTTTTTAATTTTTATTTCACACTTTAGATTTGACTTAAGTGTTAACTTGACATAAGTAGCATAAAAAAATAAAGTAATTTAGAAGTCAAAAAACAAAAATCGGCCTTATATTTGCAAATTTTTTGGGAATAGTTTTGATGGTTATACTACCGAACATCAAAACTAGTCTTGGAAAATTTGCAAATATAAAGCTGATTTTTGTTGTTTGACTTCTAAATTAATCATTGTTCGGCATGTTATTTTAACCTAAAAGTATTTAAAGAAAACCTGTAAAATACAGAAGGATAACTGAAAGGGCAAAATACAGCTAAAAGAGATAATTTGAAAAAGAAGGTAGTGTGGAAAAGTGTACTATGCAAGATATTATTTTCCAGTCGCCTGGTACTTTTTAACATTTGTTAAAAATTTATCTGTTTTAATATTAAATACACAAGGGTTATTTGTGTAAAGGTATCTATCTGAAGGAGGAAAAGTTCATATTTGGATTATAAATGGGGGAATGTTCATGTAGCTAACCTGTTTTCTGAGATTCAGATTTTTCCTAGCTGTCTTATCCATTCAGCTACTGATAAGCCACAAGAGGCAGTCAAATTACCATTCTCTCATTACTGAAAATGTTATAGCATGGCAAGAAGACCAGTACTGCATAGACTAGAATAAAGATAACTGAGACTGTCAAACCATACACAAAAGTTGAAATCTATCTTTTTAGTGATTTTTTTCACTGTCTGTTTTCCAGTCATGCTACATCCAAAAACAAGTAAGCTAAATTGATGTCCATGTATTTAGTTGCAAAGTTGTTGTTAACTTTCTGTGCATCTACTGTTCTCTGTATCTCTTCGTACCTAAGAAGTGTGTTATTAATGTCCTTAGCTCAAATTACAAAAATATAATAAAAAAACTCATTAAAGAATACAAGTAACTCGTTTTCACATTCCTTTAGAGTATGAGTACCATGCATTAAGAAATCCTCATTTATATTATATATGAGGTTTCATTTGTATAAATATGAACAATCTTCATGTTAAGTATATGTATTAAATAGCATTTATTTTATTGGTTTCTTTTAATGTATTTGTAACATTAATAGATCAGTAGTTAAGTTCTAATGGTAGCTTCCCATAATATTCTGGTAAAAGTGTCTGATGTTTTTCATATACACGATATAATAACTGATAAGAAAAATTAACACTGCTGTGCAGTATAGATTGTTAACAACATATTCAATCATAGTAGTATTAACAAAATTTTAATTTTGAGTCTCAGAAAATTTATGCATATTGAAATTGTTTAGTATCTGTATATTTCTTTGCTATAATATGAAACGATAAGCAATGTTTGCTGTACAAATATTTAGAGTAATCTAATTTTATGCTTAACAGTTTAAAATGTTTTTTCCTATAACAATTATGTTTGAATTAATATAAGTTGTGATTATGTTTGAATTATTAATATAAGCTTTAATTCATCATATTAATTAAATTTTATTACCATTACAGGAAGAATCATTCGTTTGAATTTTAGTGTACTTTTTATTCGTAGGTTCTCAAAGGTCATGATGATCATGTGATTACATGTCTTCAGTTTTCTGGAAACAGAATAGTCAGTGGCTCTGATGATAATACTCTTAAAGTGTGGTCTGCAACTACAGGAAAGGTAGTACTTGTTTTTATAAATCAGTATATGCTTAACAAAAATTGATTTGTATGTTATCAAATTCCTCCTTAACTATAAAAATGTGAGTAAAAAAAGAGTCAGATGGTCAAATGTTTGAAGGGTAGAAAATGATAACAATGTAATTGCAATTGTAATTACAAAAAATTGTATAATCTGATTATAATTACAATGTAACTGTGATTGTGGTTCTAATAACCATATAATTGGAATGCAACAGGTAATTATAGTTGTATAATTCAGAAAGTAACTGCCCCTGATAATTTCAGTTGCATAGTGTAGAGAAATCATGATCATAATTGAGAACTACAATAAATGACACTGTATCTGGAATGTTTCATCATTTTGGATGACAAGCTTTTAATAATAATACGAGGGCTATCCAGAAAGTAGATTACGTTTTGGAATAAAAAAATAAACAAAGTATAGGAAACAAATTTTATTATATACAGATGAAAGCCACACTCAAATACTACTTTTCTACATAGTCACCATACAAATTAAGGCATTTATCGTAGCGATGTACGAGCTTGGAAATTCCTTCGTCGAAAAATTCGGCCGCCTGCGCCTTCAACCACTTCGTTACCTCTTCTTGCAGCTGTGCGTCGTCATCAAAACGCTGCATAGCCAGCCACTTCTTCATTGCTGGGAATAGGTGGAAGTCGCTCGGTGCCAGGTCGGGACTGTACGGCGGATGAGGAAACAACTCCCACTTAAAAGATTCAAGAACTTTACGAGTGACATTTGCCGTGTGGGCCGGGCGTTGTCGTGAATCAACAAGATCTTAGAGCTCAACATTCCTCTGCGCTTGTTTTGAATTGTTCTTCTGAGTTTTTGGAGAGTTTGGCAATACCTTTGAGAGTTTATTGTAGTGCCTCTTTCCAGGAAGTCCACCAAAATTACACCTTTTCTGTCCCAAAAAAAACAGTCGCCATCATCTTCCTTGCCGACATTGTTTGCATGCATTTCTTGGGTTTTGGGGGGAAGAACTTGTATGCCCCCACTGCATTGATTGCAATTTCGTTTCACAGTTCACATGTTTCACCCATGTTTCGTCACCAGTAACGATGCGATCGAGTAAAGAGTCACCATCCTTATGGTAAGCGTCCAAAAAGTTCAACGCTGCAGCCATTCGCTGATTTTTGTGGTCTCTCTGTCAAGATTTTTGGAATCCATCTTGCACAAAAATTGTGGTAACCAAGCTTTTCGCTGATGATTTCGTGCAACAAACTTCGCGAAATTTGTGGAAAACTCAAAGAAAGTTCCGTTATTGTGAAATTTCGATTTTCACGGACTTTAGCATCGACTTTTCGAGAAGTTCGGCGGTCACTATGCTGGGTCTCCCACTTCGATCTTCGTCGTGAACATTGGTTCGGCCATTTTGAAACCTTATGACCCACTGACGCACTCCACCTTCAGTGATAATGTTGTCCCCATACACTTCACGAAGCTGCCAATAGATTTCTATCGGTTTACAGTTTTTTGCAGTCAGAAACCTTATTACTGAGCACACCTCGCAGCTTGCGGGATTTTCAATTAACGCAGACATTTCAAACCGTCACAGTATCTGAACGGAGCACAGCACGAACCTCTCACTAGCACGGCTAGATGCAGACTGAGCTGCGCAACGCTCTGACCCCAAGATGGCCGCGCTAGCCCCGCCCCTAGCGGACACAGACGGAAACGTAATCTACTTCCTGGATGGCCCTCGTACAAAGGAATAATCATATATAAGAAAATTATTAGTATATTCCATCTGAAATCGTTCTGCTTAATTTCTGCATTACTACAGCGTGTAACACCAGCATAAATTTTTCATCAATTCTTTGTTAAATACTACACATATTTTCAGTAAAATGTAAAAGAAATGTAGTTAAAGCGGAATGCATTTACAGGAACTGATTTTGCCAGTTTCATATAGAACAGAATAAATGTAATAATTCGTTAAATAAATGTGGATTTGAATTACTTGATGGGGAGAAGTAAACAAAGACTGTATTTCTATGGAAAGAGATGCCTTTGTGGAGGATTTGTTAAGGGAACTGATCTTTTATATATGTATGTATATATATATTACACAGAAAATTAATCGCAAAAACTTCATTTAGTCTTCCTGTTTGAATTCCTTTTTTCTATTTTAGCTGACAGAAATATGACTCCATATCATTCTGCTTAATTGCTATGTGTGCTCAAATTTTCAGTAATGGTATTCATTGTGAATTAGTTTATAATTAAATACAATACATATTTTCAATAAATAGTTTAAAAAATATTTACGAGTAATTGTACTAGTATGATCTATTTTCCAGAGCTCCTGGTACTATAAACAAGCATAATTTTGTTGAGTGTCTGATGACTTCTCAAGGAGGTTAGATTGTATGGGTTATGGCAAAGCACACAAAGGTTATCTGCTTAAGGAGAGAGATACTTTTGTGGTAGTATTTCTAAGGGCAACTGGGCAGTATTCACATTACTTTGGAAAAACCATGAAAAGGCCTATCCAGCCAGCTTGTTCGCCAAAATTTAAATGAAGTTCAGACTAACAACGTTAGCGATCTTTTTTAACTCAGCTGTTGTTGGATTTTAAATGGAAGAAAAATTGCTTTATGTTCCATCTGAGATCATGCTGCTTAATTATTGAGTAAAGTCCAACTTGCAGTAATGATATTAACTATGAAATAAGCCTTTATCAAATATAACACATATTGCCAAGAAATAGTTAAAACACATTATTTTTCTTAAAGATTAATGTGTCTCTCTGAGCTTGTTGTCATAGCTTCAGATAGAAATAAACAAGCATAATATTGTTAAGAAAAAGTTTTTAGATAATTGCCAGCAGGGGGGGGGGAAGGCATTCTTTTCTCTCCAAGACCATCCTGCTTAAATAATGTGTAAACTGCAACTTCTAGTTAATGGTATTAACTATGACTAACTGTAATATAAAGTAAATTTGCATTAAATAGTTAAAAGTTTTGCAGGAAAATAAATACATGTTTATTTGCTAAGCAAAATTATGTGTTGATGGTTTATTTAAGTGTAGCAAAGCATATAGCGGTAAGGATGTCTTATGTGGAGAACTTTCAAATATGAAGGTACGCAAACTTGTAGTTTTAACAATAATTAAAGTGAGTCATCAACTTTGTTAAGCCAATAAAAAATAGCTTAAATTTTGCTTAAAGATAAATTAAAAATCTTGGGCTCTGTGGATGAAATTGATCTGAGAAACTGTTACACGCAAGGGTGCATGAAAGCTTAATTAAGATCTTGTATTTTGCACACTAACAGCACTTCCCAAAAGCTGCTTATGAATTATTTACTTTGTCCATCAATTTCAGTGGCATGATTGTATCCGGAAATTTTATTTTTCAGGAAGAATACTTTATATCAAAAGTAAAAATGATGTGTCTTCTTCATGATGTAATAAACTATGAGTACTAACAAATTTAACTGCAATTCAATTACATTGTAATTCTAGTTAATATGCATGTACAGTATAATTATAAATGAACCTAGAATTTATTGTAATTGAAAATCGTGCAGTTATGTTTACATTTACTGAATTATCTGCAATTACAATTGTTATAATTGTACAATTTGTAATATAATTACAGTGTAATTGAGTTGATTGCAATTGCCTGCAATGTAGTGCTTTAATTGTGGTTGCAAATTGCAGTTATAATTGCATTATAATTACTAGTATAAGTAATTGCAATTACATCGTAATTCAGTCAAATCAGTTATATTGTAATTGAAGTACGCCTGACTCTGATCATTTGCCCCTCTTAAATAAATTATTGCATTGATATATTCTTTAAATTAATGAAAACCTTATGCTCAGCATTTGCCCCTCTTAAATAAATTATTGCATTGATATATTCTTTAAATTAATGAAAACCTTATGCTCAGCAGGTTGCATACTCAAGCTAAATTGTACTTATTTGTTGTATTCGTATAAATATTAGAATGCAGAACTGATAATCAATTCATAATAGAGTAACACTGTAAAATTTAAAAAAAAAAAGTAAATGTATAAATTGTACTCAGTAGGGAACTGTGTAACCTATCACTTTATTGTTGAATAAAAAAAAGGGGCCCACCTTTTTTCGGGGAGGCTAATTTTCTATCTTATTTAAATTACTTTCTTTCAGTCCTCCCTTTCTTTTGAATTTTTTTAAGAGTTTCAGATAATCTTGATTTCCTTTAAAATGTATAAAAATATATTTAAATATATAATGCCTTGAAAATCTACCATGCCTTCAATACTCATATCATATGTTTTGGAAAAGCTTGTAGTCTCTGGCTGTCAGTCTGATGTCTCGGTATGATTCAATAAAGCAGTATCCAGGCTTTATATTGCCTTTTTAGTTACTCCCTCTATGCACATCCCATCAGAAAGTTGTCCATTTTGTATTATTGCCAGAAGTGGGCTAGCTTTTCATTAGGCCACCAAGGTTACAGGTGACCAATAAATATCTGTTAGTAGAAAATCATATGTGGTTGCTAAATATATGACAGGGGGGAACAGCCAGTTATACTAATCATAAAGTTATTTTAGAAGATGTGTAGTTATATATGTGCAATGTTTGCAAAGTATGTAAGAATTTAGAAAGACTGTCATGGTTAAAAATTCAAATGTTTTCTGATAATTTTTTATTTATTTATTTAGTGCTTAAGGACATTGGTAGGTCATACTGGTGGTGTTTGGTCTTCCCAAATGTGGCTCAATATCATCATAAGTGGATCTACTGATAGAACATTAAAAGTATGGAATGCTGATACTGGTCAGTGTATACACACCTTATATGGTCACACCTCCACTGTGCGTTGTATGCACCTTCACGAAAACAAGTGAGTATAGTATTAGATTACGTATTGCTTAAATTTTTCCTTCTTAAATGTTATTTTGATAGCTTGTGTTTTATTTTTGGAATTTGCATTAATGAGATGTGTGAAATTTGGATGGGAAAATATTGTTAAATGATAAAGGACATTTTTTAGTTGTAACATTAATTGTAAAAAATGTATTCATTTATTTTTAAATTTTTGCTTCTTGTAAAAGAATGCCTTCTCTCCAGACAAAATTTAGCCCATCAGCAGCCGAGCAGAAAAGTTGTTGAATACTGATGGTTCGGGGTTCGAATCCCAGCAAAAGGATTTGTTTTCATTTAAGAATACCCTAATTTTTATTGCATACCTTAAATCTAGCCAATTTGAATTTAATAATTAGCATGCATTTTAAAAAATTTAATTATTTTACTTGTTTTCGTATCAAGAAACTTAAAAACCAGATGAGTCCTATACGTATGTTTATAATAAATAATATTCTTTTCTTGTAAAATAAATTATTTTTAAAATCAGGTCTGATCAATAATTAAAATAAATATGTGATAAAAATTTTAAAAGTAATCAATTTTTTATTTCATTTTATCAGTTGGGAACATTGTCTATTAAATGGCATTTAATTTGCATTAATAAAATTGTGATTATGCATTATTATTTTTGTTGTATTTGCATATTAATCAAAAATTACGTTTGGCAGCAGATTAACTGGCAATGATCTGCTATCTGATGATTTGAATTTTTTCTCTATTTTGGTCAGTGCAAACGTCTCGTATAATTGTTCCAGCTTGTGACAGTTTTATCAATTTTTTTGGATCCTGGCAAAGTTTTTGTTAGTTCCTTTTACCAACAATAAATACAAGGTCCGGCTATTAATTTCCAGGACTTGTGGAATAACTCGGAAGAAAAAAAGGTTAAACACATAGCCATTTAATATGATTCAGAGTAATCCCCTCCTGCTGTAATGCACGTCTGTGCTCGGCTGTACAAATTTCGGAAAGAAGTTTTGGAATACTGTTTAATAGTGATCCTCTTTTGGAATACTGTTTAATAGTGATGTTACAGTTTTCTGGATGGCTTCGACATCCTGAAATCTTGTTCCCTTCAGCGAATTTTTCAGCTTAGGAAACAGGAAAAAGGTCTGCGGGTGCTAGGTCTGGTGAGTATGGTGAGTATTTCAATGACACCATGCTGGGCTAAGAATCGCCTTACAGGTAACGCAGTGTGTGGATGGGCATTGTCATGTAGCAGCAGCCAACTCCCATTTTGTTGAAAATGAGGCCTCACTCTATGAATTCTTTTTCGAAGTCGGTCAAGAACTTCTGTGTATAAATGTCTATTGATAGTCATGTTAGGAGGAAGAAATTCATGATGAATGAGTCCATCGCAGTCGAAGAAAGCAGTTAACATGACCTTGATTTTGGACTTTTCAAATCAAAATTTTTTCTGCCTTGGTGAACATGGAGACCGCCATTTGGAGCTTTGACACTTGGTTTCAGGGTCATATTGATAACACCAAGACTCGTCTCCCGTGACTATCCCATCCAGGAATGCAGGGTCAACATCAGCATTGTCGATAAGTTCGCCACATGCGTCCAGTGTCAATTGCTTTTGTTCGTCCCTTAAATGGTGAGGAACGAATCTGGAATAAATCTTGTGTTTGCTTAGGTCTTGCATCAAAATTCGCCGAACCGTCTGTTTGTCCATGTTGAATTCATTGGCGAGTACTCAGATAGACAATCGACGATCACATTTCACCATATCGCGAACTTTTTCAATTGCTTCCGGCGTGCGTACGGGCTGCGGCCGACCTGTGTGTGGATCATCTTCGACACTTTTGCGCCCTCCCCGAAAGCGTTTAACCATTAAAAAGTTCTTGAGTGGGATAATGCTTCCTCGCTGTAAACTTGTTTTAACATTTCGTAGGTTTCCGCAGCTGTCTTGCCCAATTTGAAGCAAATTTAACGTTAATTCTTTGCTCCATTTTCACTTCGACAGTAGGAATTTAAGAGCTACGTTTTAATGCGCCTTTCCACGAGAACCACTTACTTCAGAATGGCGCCAATTTCACTGCACATGCTCAAGAAAACGCTTTTCAATATGCAATCATTAGTGCCATCTTCCGACTTTTCGTTCTACAGTTACGTCAGTTCTGGAAATTAGTAGCCGGACCTTGTATATTGTTGGGCTGTTGTAAATGTAATAATTGCTTTCAAAATAGTATCTTGCTCTTAATTTTTACTGTTTGTTTCACTTTTCATTGTTGCTATTCCAGAACATTTTTTTAGTGATATGTAATTTAATGAAATGGGAATTTAAAACATTCTTGACTGTTTGTCAATATTTCTTAATTCTGAAAAATGCAAATAGTTTCTATTTCATTATTTAACAAATTCTGATCAGGGCTGTGGAGTCGGAATAGGAGTCGGGCAGATATTGGGGTAAAAGGAGTCGGAGCTGGAATTGCTAAAAATGGGTTGACTCCGACTCAAGTTTTTGTTGGACAATTTGAATTTGAAATTAAATTGAAAAAATTAATGACAAGCTGAGTTATTTTTTTTAATTTATGGACTTTATACATTAATAAATAGTTATTTTCTATTTTATTGACATATTAATAAATAAATGTAAGGGAGGAGGATAGATGTGATATTTGACATTAGTGATTAAACTGATTCATTTAGTTACAAATCTCACTGGAAATTTAGGTAAGCAGCAAGAACTCCCAAAATTGATGCCATTCTTAGGAAGCAAGAGGGAAAAGGAGCAATTATCGATCACGCAGTGCAATAAGGAAGTACATATTTGATGGTAAAGAGGTTGTTAGAATTTAGAACTTTTTTAGGAGATGTAAATAACCCTAATGTTTCATTAACAGAAAGACTGTGGAATGATCTTGCAGAATTGGGAACTCTTCTTTCTCTATAGCATATATAGCCACAAAAAAGCTGCAATCTGAAGAATTGACAGAAGGTGAGAATGGGATGTTTGTTCTTTCTGAAATGGAGGGTTTATTGCAGAAGGAATCATTTCTTCAATGAAGAAAAGAGAAACTAGTTTGCTAGACAATGAGATCTTCTTGGGTTCAATATATGGAGATCCGAAACACGGAATTTTCTTGGATGACAAACAAATTAAAAAGGCAAAGAAAGCCATCTATGAACTTTCATAAAGAATGAAATTATTCTCAGAACAGTTCGAGAATTTGAATCAGGACAGTCAAACTGCAGACATTGCAATTGAGTCTCTATCATCCTCTTCCAGTCATGAATTAGATTTCGAGAAATGTTTTTGGGTAATATTGAAAAGGCTGAGGCAAAGTGAATGAAAATAAAGAACCAAGAGCCTTTAGATATAAAAATGAAAAAATACAAACAAGATTTCTACACAGCCTTTGAAGAAACAGAGAAATATGATTTTGCTTGCAAGACACCTCTTTTAGAACTTATAAAAATCTATTCTGAAAAGTTAAAAGAAGTAGCCCTAACAGTAACAGCTCTTCCTCCTACTCAAGTTAGTGTGGAAAGACTTGTCTTTCAACGGAACTGAGAAGAGTTTGATAAACTTATGAGTGTAAGTCACTTATAGTGACTTATAATAATAATAATGACTATAAGTATCAAATCAGATCTATGGCCCTCCAACAAAGAATATCTTGCCGAACTGTTTCTTAGAAATAACTGATGCCAGTTTTTCCAGTTCATAATAAATGCTAAATAATATCAATAAATTGCTGTGTCATCAATATTTTTTTTCTGTAGCATCTATTACTTCTTTTATATTAAAAAAATAAGCTATAACCCATGTGTATATATATATATATATATGAGGGAATCATTTTTCCTACCGACTCCGCAGATCTGATTCTGATTATTAACGGAACACTGACAATGTCAAAGCTAAGATTGAGCATGTGATTAAGAGTTGGGGAAGAACGTATATTTTGATATTTAATTAAACTATTTGGACATAATCGCATAATATGAATCTTGCCTAATCATTATGAAAAGAATATTAGAATCAGCAAGTTTCCTTGACCCTCTTCAGAATCATGAAATTTAAATATACCGCTTTTTTATATAGCTTTTGAAAATCTGAACTGATTATATTTCAGTTTGGAAATTCTTAAAAGAATGTTTTATATGCACATAGTTCATTTCCTAACATTAAAATCATAATCTTGTATAAAAAATTATCTGAAGAATACATGATATAAATATTAAGATACAAATATGTATTATTATTTATTTTAAAAGTAATTTTTGCACTAAGCTTTAAGGTTCTTTTACAAAATGAATGTATTGTGTATGTTTCACTAAATAGAAATTATAGTAATTATGTATTTTTTAAGCAAAATTATTAAAATTCAGTTGCAAATTAAATATTCTTAAAAAAATATTCTTTTGTGTCGTAATTCTTACTTTCAAATTTGATAAATATTTACGCAGAAATTAACTGCTTATAAATGTGAGTTCAAATTAAATATTTGAAATATAAAGGTACAACAAAGGAATGGTGTAATGTATTTGGCATTTCTTGATTTTTTTTAGAGTTGTGAGTGGATCCAGAGATGCTACTCTTAGAGTGTGGGATGTTGATACTGGAAAATGCTTGCATGTTTTAATAGGCCATGTTGCAGCTGTAAGATGTGTTCAGTATAATGGTAAATTAGTAGTTAGCGGGGCTTATGACTATATGGTTAAAGTTTGGAATCCTGAAAGAGAAGAATGTATCCATACTCTACAAGGCCATACTAACAGAGTGTATTCTTTACAGGTATGTTTTTTTGATTGATTTTCTAATGCTAAAAAAATTTCATGCCTTTCTTATATGCCTTAATTTTGAATTTACATATATTGTCATAGTTAATCCTCTCCCTGCGCATCCCGCGATTTCCACGGGCAACGTAGAAATAGCAAAATTTGTGCAACATGCGATTTCCGCGGGGATGAATTTTTGCCTTCTATTTAACTGTGCAACCTTCTCTTTCCCCGATCAAGGTTTCCTTTCGGCTTTTCTGTGATGTTTAATTGTTTATTTAGATGTGGGCTAACAGTTGGCATTAGTTTTCCACATTTCTACCTAATATACAAAATTACGTAATGTAGAAGAGCTCAAAGATGTCTGGCAGGAAGCGTTTCGCGAGTGATATATTCCTGACGATATTTCCGACACTGATAGTGGTTCTGACTCTGATTTCAAGTATATTGAAGATAGTTACAGCAAAACTGATGAGAATTTCTCAGATTCCTCTGCAGATAGTGATAAATCTGAAAATTTAGTTTCTATTGAAAACTTTCGACAGTGGTTCAAAATTGATATGCACAATATTATATTATGCAAATATTTTCATTAGTATATATGTTTTACCTTTGTATTCTATAAAATAAATCATAATTTAACACTAGAACGGCAGTAAGGGGTCATTTTAACCCTTTGATAAAAGTACTGAAATAACTATGGAAAAACAATTTTAAATGCCATACATTGGCACAAGTACATACTTTATATGTATTTCATAGTTTATATTTAATATCACTTGATAATTTATTGACTTTTAGCACATGGCGATCAATTGGATCATACTACAATTACTCTAACTCAGTTATTTGATATAAGAATTGATTTCAAATAAATGGTTTCGCAAATTAAAACTAATGTTAACTAAAATAAAACACAATTTAAATAATATTTTCTATGTACTTACTCGGAGGATGATTCACTCTGTAAATGCAGAAATGAGAAATGTTCTCTGATGTTTCAGTTATATCATTATAGGTGTAGCTGAATGGAATATGTAAATCATTTCATTTCAGTTCTATTTAATGTTTAAAATATTAGAGATTACACATATGAATTAAAAATTAATGCAGTTGATACAAAAATAATTTTTAACAATTTTTCCAGTGCATTTTCCGCACACAACTTTGGAACAAGATGCACAATATTCTTGAGATTTGTTTCCATTGCACGTCTGTACTTGACACTTTTTTTCTCTTTATATCTATTTTCTTTTCATGTGTTTCTTCTGAAGACTCAAGAAGAATCTTTGGGAGTTTTGAAGCCATATGTACCACTCTTAACTCTTCTCCTAATTTCAGTCGAAAATCTCTCCATTTAATGGTGTTTCCTGTAACACTTTTATAAATTATCCAGGTGTTCAAAGCTGCGTGATCCAAAATAATGAAAAAGTTATGTACGGGCCATCTTCTAAAAGCCAATTTAACTGAATATTTTCGGCACATCTGATCATGAATATCCACACCATGCTTTGTTGCGTTGTGAAATATTAATGAATCGGCCAACTTCTTGAGAGTGTCTTCAGTTTTCACAGTAGAATAATGAGTTCAGTAGAAAAACGCTTTTGTTTCTTTTGCCTTCATAGATGGTAAGTGTAATATTATCATGTTCCACTATTGTCGATGAATAAAGATTACTACGCATATTTTTCAAAGATATAGGAATTTCTCTTCTATTCTTTTTCATTGTGCCAGCCATAGTTATATTTTTTATTTTAGCATTTCTGCTAATTTAATGCTAGTGAAATAGTTATCCACGGTAATATTCCTCCCTTTGCTTAGATGTGACATTAATTTTATGACATTATTTTCAGACAAACCTAATTGAGGATTTGCTGTTTCATCTTCTCCTAGATAAGGAAATCCATTCAAGAGGTATTTAGTACTAACGTCGATAGATAACCAAAATTTTATTCTAAATTTGTCAGGTTTATTAGGCATATATTGTGTAAATCTTACACCTAGCTTTAGATGGGAATAATTGTTCATCAACTGTAATATTTTATCCTGGTCAGTAGCACGTTTTGCAGTTTTCAATAAATTTGTTCCACATGTCTGATGCAAGAGCAAATTTATCAGTCTGTAATCGAGCGGATCTTGGCGTCTTTTCATCGAACCTTAAAAATTGGTTTTATTTCTTTGAATCTATCTCTTGATATAGTTTCTTTCCAAAATGGTATTCCCCACGCTTCGGACCATAAGGAATATAAATCTAAGCCCTTTGCTCTTATTACTTCTCAAACATACAATATAGCAACAAAAGCATCTAACTCAGCCAGAGATAACTTCCAGTCTTTATTTCCAAGTTGCCGATGAGCTTCAGATTCTGTATATTTCTTTCTATGCAGCAAGATATCATCATCAATAAAAAGCTTGAAAGCACCAGACGCTGTCCTCAGAAACATGACTCTTTGCAAAATATGTTAGTCCTGCTGTTTCTTTTGGAACATTATAAGTAGGAACACAGGGAAGACTGAATTTTTGGAATTTATTTCATTCCATATAGTGTTATCAGGAGCTGTAAAAACAGTTTTGCAAATACCCTGATCCGTTTTTGCTCGTTTATTTCTAGTGAGTCTTCTTCATTTACTTCGCTGTCCTCGGATTCACTAATAGTTTGTCTGGAATTCATCTTCAGTTTCTACAGAAAAATTATCAATTTCACCTCTGTCAGACTCATTTTCAGATAGCTCCTGCAACAATTTTTTGATTTCTTCATCCATAAGACCTCTTTTCCGCTTATTAGGCATATTTTGTAAAAGTTGAAAAATATCAGACTCTCAGAAAACGATAGGGAATATATTTTAGCATATGATTCTCGCAGCGTAAAGGAAAGGTGATTCTTGCGTAAAGGAAAGGTGAACTTGACAGAATTCATATATACTGAAACACTGATTTGGGATTACCAAGAAAACATCTGTCCTAACTGTTATCATCTGCAGTAAGTAAAATACATCTGTAAAATAAACTATTTTTGAAAAAAAAAAAAAAAAAAATGTAAGCATGAAAATCCCTGCATCTACCTTCCTTGCAGTATTTTCTTCAAACAAATAAATAATTGCAAGCAAAGGAACAACAACTTATGTAGACATTACAAAGTAGTGAGACCACCCAGGTTTTTATCCCTCGGGGAGATAGTATGAATGCAGTCGAGAAATCCTTATCAGTGAATGTTTTTCATGGGTTATTTTACAATGCCTGCAGCAGAAAGAGAGATAAAAGTAAAAGGGGTCAAAATGACCCCCCGTCCGCCGTTTTAGGAATACATGACATTATTTCAAAAACTAACAAACTTAGAATGCTGAAATTTGTTTTACAAATATTTGTTATCTATTTAGGAAAAGTCAATAAATTCCAAATGATTTCTTCCAATAAAACAAAAGTAATCAAGAGTCAAAAGTGTTCAGGGGTCAAAATGACCCCTACTGCCGTTCTATTGTTAACCAATATTAATTTTCAAAATTTTCCCTTTTTTGTCATTATTCTTCAATTTCAGTATTCTGACAACCTTTTTCTATGATCTAATTCTATATTGAATAAAAACTCTTTTACAAAAAATTTTTGTGTATTTTAACTCTAAAATATATGTAGATTTGAAATATGTAATTAAAAAAATGCAATTTTTGAACCTATTTTGATTAAAAAAAAAAAAAAAAAAGGTACGCAGTGAGAGGCTTAAACATATAATTGAACCATTTTAAAATTTTTCTACAATCTGTTTCAAAAAATAGTTAACTCTTTCCTAATAACCTAATTACCTCCTTTCCTTCCTAATAACCATCTGTGAAAGTGATTAATATTTCTGAGAGCATAAACAAACATTTTGTTGAACATTTCCCTAAAAATGCCACTTCCCCAGAAAGCCGAAATTGTCTGAAACTGTAGGTGGTTGCCATAGCAACCCTGTAACTTTTTTTTATTATTATTTTTATTAGAGCAGACATGTGAAAAAATACTGAATTTTCCTTTAAATATTAAATGTTAGGCAAAAGTGGAAAGCATAATCTAAAGGTATTTTGGATTTAAATTTTATCATGTATGTTATATTTATTTTGAAACTGATAATGAATCCAAGTTTGTGCTTTTAAAGCTAAAGAAACAAAGATGTCTTTATAATGTGTTGTATCTACTATTTCATTAAAAGATTCTTTTGAAATTATTCAGCATATTTCTGATTATGTGATATGACTTTATTTTATTTTAATCTATTTATTATGTTACTGGAAGTTTCTAAATCTTGCATTGTTCATTCAGTACGTTTTTGTGTGCGTGAGTGCATTGATGATACACTGCATGTATAGCGCTAGCAGTGTCTTTTATAAAATTCAGCTTTCTTAACTTACTTATTATAAAAAATGTGATTTAAACGAGGTAGTAAATGATGATTATATGTATGACACTCATTGCTAAATCATTGCTTAATCAGAACATTTTGTAACTACATGCCACTGTACGATTGCCACTAGAGGTAAAAATATTTGCACAATACAAAATTACTTGCTGACTCATGGCATTTAAAAATGAAATAAATTTAAAAAAATAAGTAATAGTGTGTATTATTTTTGTATGAAACTATATCACAAACAGGTATATATATTACAAATGAATAATATTGTTGCATTGTTACTTCAAAATGTTATTCATGTATAATCTTTGCACGAAACAAAATTTTGCTGTAATTCAAAACCATATATATATCTACAACTAATGTCTAATCTTCACTCCATGCCAATATTCAAAACATGATGCTGATTGAACTAAAGGATAAACAGTGAGATGCTGAATTTTCCATGCCAGTACACAACCAGCAGTGACTATGTTAAGGAAGAAATATGGGTAAATGTTAGCAAAAATTGTAGTACCTTCTAATATTTCGATAATCATAAGAAAGCTTTCTTACGTATGATTCCAAAATGGGGCTCTGATATTTAAGGGGTTTTAGTAATAGGTATGGAGGCACATTTTATAAATATTATATTTGATGATGCATCCTTTTTCCAAATTCTGTGCAATTTATATTTCAGTTTGATGGTGTTCATGTGGTTAGTGGATCTTTGGATACTTCTATCCGTGTGTGGGACGTAGAAACAGGAGCTTGTAAGCACACATTGATGGGTCATCAGTCTTTAACCTCAGGAATGGAATTGCGGAACAATACTCTTGTGTCTGGTAATGCTGACTCTACTGTAAAAGTGTGGGACATAACAAATGGCCAGTGTCTTCAAACTTTAGCAGGTGAGATTTTATTGAATAAGTAACATTATAAACTTATTGTAAATTTGTTGTTGATATCTGTGTAAAAGAAAGAGTTAACTGATTATTTACTTACCAGCTGACCAGTAAATTCCTTTTGATTCTTATTTATAAATAATTCATATTATAAGGGCTAAAAAGCTGTGTGAATTTTTTAATATGTAATACAATATCAAGATTTTGCAAATAGTAGTAGTTTGCAGTACACAAAGTTCACTGGGGTATTTCTTAGAAATGTTTTTTTTCTATCATTTAATTATTGATGAACATGTCATTAGGAAGAAAAAAGTAGGTAATTTAAAATAATTAGTTATATTGATTTCTTTCTTAAGAAGTTTTTACTTTGTACTCCATTTCATTTCTTTCTTTTTGAGAGAAGGTTGACTGATCTCAGAATCTTTGATACACAGAGCTTGAATTCAAATAGAAAATTGATTGAGATGATAGCCAAAGGAGATTAAATAGCAACTAATCTTTTCTGAGCATAATCAGTATTTATCATTCTTTTTCATTTGTGCAAAAAGTCAAATTTGCACTATTAAAAGAAAATATTTTTTTCAATTTCAGCAGTTATGGTTGAGGTCTTTCTTTGGATAGCTATACATTTAAATTACAATAATTTTTATAGGTGGCAGTGGATTATTTTAGTATGTAAATATAATACTATTTTTAAACTCAAAATAATAAGAGATAAAAATGTTAAAAAATATCATGAAACAACATATGACAGAAATGGTTTACTTTAAAATTCAAAATTCTTCATGTTATGTTAGAGTGAAAAGTTGAATACAGCAGAATGTACTCCAGTGTAAATAACTGCTGGAATCTTATTGTAAATTATGTATTTATAATAATCAATATTAAACTTTTATATTATATTCAGTCTACCGGAAAGTTCTGTCCGTTTCGATGACAACAGTTTTTGATGCCTAAGCACACATTTATTTGGCGTATGTTCATCTCTCTATTTTTATTGCTGTATGTATACATACTGACATATCAAATTAAACAAAGTTGATTCACTTAAGTGTGAAGCGATAGTGTACCCACGGCTACTGATAAAGTTCATTTATGTGAATTTCAACGAGGAAAAAGTGCTACAGAAGCATGTGGAAATTTATTGAAAGTGTTTGGTGAAGGTACAGTTTCTGATAAGACAAGCAGAAGATGGTTTGAAAAATTTGAAATGGGTGATTTCAACCTTTCTGATAAGCCACATTCTGGCAACCATCTATGATTGATGACAATTGTAAAGACCATGTTAGAGCAAGATCCTTTTCTGACATCAGAGATTGCAGAAACGCTTAATTCAGCTCAGGAAACCATTTTGGACCATATTCGGAAGATAGGATTGGTGTGGAAATATTCATGACGAGTGCCACATGAATTAAGTCGGAAGAATTTGGATGGTCGAGTCATCATATGCATATCTCTGCTTGCTCGGAACAAAATCGAGCCCTTCTTGATACAGATGATAAGTGGGGATGACAAATGGATTACCTACGAAAACATCGTAAGGAAAAGGGCAGATAGTGAGCCTGGAAAACCTAGCCCTTCCACCTCTAAACCAAATTTGACTCTCAATAAAAGAATGTTCTGTATATAGTGGGACATTCGAGGACCAATACATTATGAGCTTTTAAACCGAAATGAAAAGCTCATTTGGAAGAAATATTGTCAGCGACTGGATAATTTAAAGACAGCAGTCCAAGAAAAGAGACCACTGTTTAAAAGAAGGACAGCATGCTGCATCATGATAATGCTAGGCCACATGCTGGTTTGAGGAGTTGTCGAAAGATTGTAGAACTAGGCTGGGAAATTTAGTCGCATCTGCTATATTCCATGGACACAGCACTCTCTGACTATCGCTTGTTTTTGTCCTTACAAATTATTTTGAAGGGCACAAAAATTCAAAAATGGAGATATCAAATAAGAATTGGTACCACTTTTTGCATCAAAAAATGCAACAGTTTTCAAAGATGGAATATACAAATTTCCGTCATGCTGGCAAGAAGTCAATAATAATAATGGCAATTATATTATTTAATAAAGTTTATTTACAGTAAGAAAAATTTGTATTTTGTGTTATTTTCTAATTGAACAGAACTTTCTGGTAGACCGAATAATTGTATTGGAAAAGAAGTAAGTCTTAAGCAACAGCCTTTTATTATGTTGTTTGATAAATAAAAAGGCATGCTATTTTTTCAGCAGTACTTTTTTCCCTTGCACATAGGCAAGTGAAGTTTTAGTATTATTTGTGTGAATATGTAAAATCTTTAATTGTTATTGAGAGAATGGTTTAATAATGTTAAGATAATAAAGGTCTTACATTATTATTTTAAGATGTATTCTTTGTATTTAAATTTTGAATCATAACTCTATCAGTTTTAAAAATTTATTACATTGCAAACATGATTACATCTCAAGAAATTATTAGGGTTCGTAGCAATCCTTACAAGTGCTTATAAGTCCTTATATTTGAAAATAAAATATAAAGGCCCTTATAGGTGCTTACTTTTTCTTTAAAAGCCCTTATTTTTTTGTTTTTAGTGCTTATTTTTTAATCCTTTGTTTTTAATGAACACGCATTTTTTCCCCGTACCAAAGCCGAAACTACGAGGGCCATCCAGGAAGTAGATTACGTTTCCGTCTGTGTCCGCTAGGGGCGGGGCTAGCGCGGCCATCTTGGGGTCAGAGCGTTGCGCAGCTCAGTCTGCATCTAGCCGTGCTAGTGAGAGGTTCGTGCTGTGCTCCGTTCAGATACTGTGACGGTTTGAAATGTCTGCGTTAATTGAAAATCCCGCGAGCTGCGAGGTGTGCTCAGTAATAAGGTTTCTGACTGCAAAAAACTGTAAACCGATAGAAATCTATCGGCAGCTTCGTGAAGTGTATGGGGACAACATTATCACTGAAGGTGGAGTGCGTCAGTGGGTCATAAGATTTCAAAATGGCCGAACCAATGTTCACGACGAAGATCGAAGTGGGAGACCCAGCATAGTGACCGCCGAACTTCTCGAAAAAGTCGATGCTAAAGTCCGTGAAAATCGAAATTTCACAATAACGGAACTTTCTTTGAGTTTTCCACAAATTTCGCGAAGTTTGTTGCACGAAATCATCAGCGAAAAGCTTGGTTACCACAAGTTTTGTGCAAGATGGATTCCAAAAATCTTGACAGAGGACCACAAAAATCAGCGAATGGCTGCAGCTTTGAACTTTTTGGACGCTTACCATAAGGATGGTGACTCTTTACTCGATCGCATCGTTACTGGTGACGAAACATGGGTGAAACATGTGAACTGTGAAACGAAATTGCAATCAATGCAGTGGGGGCACACAAGTTCTCCCCAAAAACCCCCAAAATGCATGCAAACAATGTCGGCAAGGAAGATGATGGCGACTGTTTTTTGGGACAGAAAAGGTGTAATTTTGGTGGACTTCCTGGAAAGAGGCACTACAATAAACTCTCAAAGGTATTGCCAAACTTTCCAAAAACTCAGAAGAGCAATTCAAAACAAGCGCAGAGGAATGTTGAGCTCTAAGATCTTGTTGATTCACGACAACGCCCGGCCCCACACGGCAAATGTCACTCGTAAAGTTCTTGAATCTTTTAAGTGGGAGTTGTTTCCTCATCCGCCGTACAGTCCCGACCTGGCACCGAGCGACTTCCACCTATTCCCAGCAATGAAGAAGTGGCTGGCTATGCAGCGTTTTGATGACGACGCACAGCTGCAAGAAGAGGTAACGAAGTGGTTGAAGGCGCAGGCGGCCGAATTTTTCGACGAAGGAATTTCCAAGCTCGTACATCGCTACGATAAATGCCTTAATTTGTATGGTGACTATGTAGAAAAGTAGTATTTGAGTGTGGCTTTCATCTGTATATAATAAAATTTGTTTCCTATACTTTGTTTATTTTTTTATTCCAAAACGTAATCTACTTTCTGGATAGCCCTCGTAAATAAACAACTTTTCTTCCTTATATGCAACGTCAGATGGTGAATCATACTCCCGGAAATTGCTTCCCCCCCTTCATCTGCATTAACGTAACCTATGGTGCGTGCAAGAGTACAGACAGGTGCACGTCGTTCTATTGGCCAAAGAATTGAAAACGGTAGAAAATTCCGGTACATTTAGTATTCTTTTCCTCGCACCCAAATACTGCACAAGTTTGAATTTTTATCAAGATTTTAATAATTTGCATTCTTGTTCCGCGTGGTCAGTTCATATTCATGTTTATTATGATCGTTATGCTTATATTATGAGCATATGTATGAATATTTATAATAATGTATTTGCAGTAACTGCTGAAGTATAGATAAACTTTCCAAAAATGGGTAAGTGTGTTTTTACACAGATTAGCTTTCTAAGGAATAATATTCGGAATGGCTTAAATAAAAGGGAAAGTAATCGATAGTCAAAATAATTTCCTTTTTTGTTTGCCAATGCACATTATACAGTACGGAAGGTTGGGAGGTCCTCTTTCTCCGCAAAATCTCGAATATTAAAACTGTTACAGTTTGCAGCAAAGCAAGCAACTTTTTTTTTTTTTTTTTTTTTTTTGTCACTGTCCCAATTTGAATTGAATAGGACTAAAAGTTCTTTGCGGTCTACCCAACCCAAGCGCAGATTGATTCTATTCCGGAAATTTAATACAGTCTGTTGAAAATTAGAATCAGAAACACCCCAGATTAGTAAGTCTCTTTTTTTTTCCGCCTTTATTTAGTTCTTTATTCTCCGAATACCGGCAGATGTTGATTCCGATTGCGTAATATCACATATGGAAGAATTATGCCGTATTGCGCAATAACGTTTGCGGTATTTTGCATTGATAATTAATTTTGATGTTCAGTCTGAGATTTGTTTATGAACACTTAAAACAGTTTTACTGTACTTTCTAAGCAGAATATTTCTCAGTTCCGTTGGTCTATTTTTATATGATGCACATATCGAAACGTCAAAATCATTTATTTGGCCGAGAAATCTAAAGAACGGCTACAATCTCTCTCACTCCTCATTTTCCAGTTACTATCTGGAATATTCGGGAATTTCTGAGAATGCGGGTTAGTTAAGCTTTTACTGTTAAAGGATGACTGCATGAAGCAATTTCCCGTCTTCTGATTTCAGAAATGTGCCTCTTTTTTACATAAATTACTTTGCTTGAATATATGTTAAGGGAAAACTGTTATGCAATGAAAATTTAGAAAATGTCCAGAATTTTTGATTTAAGTTAAATTATTTAAATATTAATATGAGTGGAAAAATAAATTGTATTTATTATTAGGTGCCAAATGAAATACAATTAATATGGCTTATTATTATTTATTTTCTATATTTTCAACTGAAATATCATCATAATCTTGTAATATAGTTTAGTTCTGCATAGTTTTTTTCCTCTCATTGTAAACTAATTCTGTAAATTGAACTGTCATTTAAAAAAAATAATAATTGTTTTCCATTGTTGAGGTAATGCTCATTCTCTTAATAAATATTGCATTGCTCATATTTTAAATTACAAGTCTAATTTTTCTTTTAAGGTTATGCAGTTGTGTATAATGTAATTAGACAGGTGCTTATTTTTTCCTTAAAATGTGCTTGAAAAGTGCTTATAGGTGCTTACTTTTTTAACTAAAATGTGGCTATGAACCCTGAATTATGAATTAATATTCTTTCGGAGAATGATGAATAAAGGTTGAAGACCTCATAACTACATTAAAAAACTGATTTAATATAATAAGCTTCAAAACTCCCTTCCCAGTTCTAAGACAGGGTTCCCATTCTTCAGAGTCTGGGAAATGAAAAATGGTCAGTCCTCTCAAATAATAAAAAAGTAGTAATCTCAAACAAAAATTGCTGTATTAAAAAGAAAGCAAATCATGAATTACTGCAATTTGTTTTTCTTGCTCAAGTCCGTTACCTGCTGGTGAGCTGTTCGTTTTTCTGTATAGAAATATAACTGTTCTATCACCCATCTCTTTAGAAGTGTAACTCGCTCTTCAAAAATGAGTGTGCAGTTTTTAAGTAAATAACTGTATTAGTTAAATGCTTTTTTCAGTTGAATATATTTCAATCGAGACATTTCATTTTAAAAAAACACCCTAAGGAATTATAGTTATTTTGAATGACATAATCTTTTTATTGGTTTAAGATTTAGTTGCATGTGTCGTAATTATGAGGGGGTTCTCAACAAGGGTTGAATTTCATAGTTTCAAGGGGGATGCAGTCATGAATGCATTTACCTGCTATATAAGTATTTAAAGTTTTATTTTATGAGCATTAAAAAACTGCTTTTATTCAAGTTTTGGTGTTTGTTAATTTTTTGTACTTTTTCTTGTTTAATTCCTAAAACATAATAAGTAATGTAAATGTTTGTATGTATTTTTCCAGTTTTGGAATAGGGAATTGCAGAAAGTGTTGAGAACCCCTCATATATATGTTTCATTTGCTTCACAGTTATGAGTAACATAAACCAAATTTTTATTATTATTAGTTATTTTATTGTATTTCATAGGAAGTGCATAAAAGTATTTAATTATTTATGCTTGATGTGATGACAAGTTTCATGTGCATGGTTAGGAAAAAATAAAAGTTGAATTTCCAGAAGTAATTTAAAAACCCTTGAGAAACTGTAAGGAAAACTTGTAAGAAATTTATTCCATTTAATTTTTATCTGAATACTTTTTTTTATAAGCATTTTTATTTTCAGGAGCTAACAAACACCAAAGTGCTGTGACGAGCTTGCAGTTCAACAATAAATTTGTTGTCACATCATCAGATGATGGAACTGTAAAATTATGGGACTTAAAAACTGGAGAATTTTTAAGGAACATTGTGGCATTAGAAAGTGGTGGCAGTGGAGGTGTTGTTTGGAGGATAAGAGCATCAAGTACTAAATTAATATGTGCGGTGGGAAGCAGAAATGGAACTGAAGAAACAAAACTCCTTGTTTTAGATTTTGAATCAGATCCTAAATAATTAATGAAGTTGTGCTAATTTTTAACAATTAATGAACTTATAAAAACTGCCTGCATATATGCAAGAATGAAGTGAAATACTCTGGAAGGTGCTACTTGTCACCTTCATTTTTGCAGAAGAAATAAGACTTTGTTCAAAGGAAAAAATTTTTAATGTGATTCAGTTTGTTTCAGGTCATGTGGTCATGATCTTCATATTTTCCTGCTTTTTCATCATTGCAAAGAGAGACCATTGGACGAAATTTCATACATTTGATTTATGACTGATATAAAAAAAGTAGCGTAGCCACTAGTTCCCTCGTTTCTGTGCTGCAATAGTTTTGCTCATTGTGCTGGACACAGTTGCTTTCTACTTTTTTTTTTGTCAGAATACTATTTTGTCCTGCCATATTGTAAATAAATTGCCTTTATTTTATAAAGTTATTACTTTGTTATTTGCTCTTGTGATACTTTATTTTACTTTAGACATAATTTACTTTCACAGCATTAGAACTGAATAGAATTGGCCGTTCGTATTGATGGTTCTTGCCATGTAAAATAAGCTAGTTGTTTATTTAAATGTATCTAATTTTTCCATTAATTTAAAAGATCATACAGTACAAGATATATTTTTAAGAAGCAATACGTTTACTTCTGATGAATGTAACATACTGATTTAACAGTATTTACATTGAAATAGGTTAGGTAATTCATTTTATTTAGAGAGGACATATTCTTAAGTATAGTTGAAAAAAAAAAATCTGGAATCTAAATTAATTGAAAAATTCAAAATTATAAATTTTAGCAGTGTGTTTATATAGACACAGTATGCAATTAAAACTTGAATTTGTTTAGGTTTATTTTTTCAATATTAACAAAACATATTGAGAATCTTTTCTGAATCAAAGCAACTACAGGACTCATTCAAGGGTTAATACATATAAGCACAAAGTGTAAAATACTTAATTCTTTCAAAAAAAAAAAAAAAAAAAATCAAAAATAGCCAATCAGGGCTATCCTATGATAATATTGGTAATCCAAATCCACCGAAATTAATTGGCGCATTCTTTTTTAATGAATGTGTATATTAAGCCTGTATACAATTAATCTCTCTGATTAAAAATATTTCTGTAAAGACAAAATAAGAAAATTAAAAAAGTTTTCTATCCTCTTCTAGTTTCATGCGTTCAAATGCTGCTTTTCTTTTATGCCATTTAAAATATATATATATATAATTTCGTTTTAGGAACCGAGCAGAATCGCCGTTAGAGGGTGATTTTGAATAGGGTTTTTTTAGCTTTGACTGCCTCTTTCTCTCGTGATTCTAGCTTATTTACTTAATGTGTTCCAGCTGTTTCAATGAAGTAAAGGGATCGTGAATGTAGTTTTTAAAGCCTATGTAAATTAAATTCCCTATTTTATTGAAATGGATTGTGTAAACTGTTAAAATAAAAAATAAATACTCATAATTAATAACTGATTGGTAAATAAAAACTTATTTTCATTGCTTAATTTCGTTAAAAGACGTGTGCATTGAATTTTGGATTTATGGAAATGCTTTATTTTTTAACTTTATGAACTCTCTAGAAAGAAATTATAATAATTGAAAGAAAAATAAAATTCCCTCGTATTAAATACATATTTGATTTATGGGGGGAAACACTTTATTCGTATATTATGTATACTGTTCGGTAATAGATTGATTTTTAACAAAGTTTCACATAGTAATTTTTAACACATATACTGCAGTGTTAGGCGAAAACTTAACCATTAAGGACACTGCAAGAGCTGCTGATGTAGTGCAATATGAAGATTAGTAATTATTTAAATGCACAGCAAACAAAAGGCATTCTGCCAAAGTTACTACGTCAACAGTAAATCTAAAGCTATTGAGGTCCAGGGCAGAAATTTCTCTCCTTATTGGAATGATTACGATTCAAAATATCAAGATAAATATGTAATTGATGTTTATTTAGTTAAAATTATTTCGAAAACGAAGAAATATTAAAACTAAAGAAAAAAACAGCTTACATCTAGCAGACAATATTGTTACATGCATAGAGGTTCTTAATAGATTGAATGCACACAGGTTCAAAGATAGGTTGATAAAATTTATTTTATCAAAAGAAACACTTCAGAGTTCTGGAACTTTCACAGAAATACTTGTGCAGGTATTTACAATATCACAGTGTGTAATCAGTAGTTACACTTCAGACTACTAAGAACATAAATGCAATGCGATGCAAAGAACATCTAAAGAATGAAGCTAACCTGGAGATATCTCAGTATTCCGAACTCATGCTGAACCAACAGCTAACTGAGGAACTGATGCTGTCATCTCTTATTTAGTTTTTCTCCTGGCTACTGAGATATTTCTGGTACTTTCTCCTTCTCGAAAGGACTGAACTTTACTGGAAGGCATATGAAGGCTGGATACGGTTACAGCTACATAGAGGATCAATTAGTTATTCAATTGCAATAACCCATTACAGCTACACAGCGACTGAACCAAATGGTCGCCAAGTTGGCAACAAAAATTAGTAGCCAAAACTGCTGCCAGCTTTGCGATACCTCGACAAATTAGCAAGATAGCCATTTACTCAATGTTATGACTCTGTATTCTAAGATGCTGTGGGAAAAAAAAAAAAAATGGGTTTAAAATGGCATCATGTTAGACAAAATAAAGATTTTTCATTTTACCTTACAGAATTTTTTTTTTTTTTTAATCTTCAGCACATGAGACTGTCTACCAGAAATTGTAAAGATAGGATGTTATTAAATATTCTTAGCTCAGATGCTCTTGAAACATTATGTGTATGTGAATGAAAAAAACGCCCCTTTCAGCGTAATATAAAACCTGAAAATTTCACAATTTCATGGGGGGAATATGGTCCGCCTTCTTTTTAGCTGTTGAGTACTTAGTTTTAATTTATGAACATAAAAAAAAAACTTTTTTATTTACCAGTATTTTCGCAGCCTCACGGGGCTCCAGCGAGTTGCTTCTTCGAGATAGTGGAGGACGTGGGACATATGCCTGTTTACCTATGTTATACGTCAGGCGTCCCCGTCCTCCGTCACCTGTTAATTTATGAGACACGTTAGAAAATACTCTAAATAAATTTATACTTGTATTTTTCGAGCTTGGAAAGGAGGGGTATAATGATCTAGCAATGGTGAAAGGCATGCATGGAGCTAAAATGGTTGCGAACCACTGGTATAAATTTCATTAATGATCAACTTCAATTGCTATTTGCCAGCAATGTATTCTTTTTGCATATTCATAATTGTTAAGGCATATAAAGTACATAAAATATTTTAAGCTGATATTAAGTCTTCTTGCTTCAATATGCATTTTCAAATTTGTATTTAGCATTTTCTTTCATAAAAAACTTGAAAAAAAGGTCTTGAAAACATCCACTGATCTATTGATAATAGTAGTAATCAATAGTAATGTAATTGACAGTAAAATTGATAACATCATTTTTAATACATGCATTAAAATTATAAAACTGCTGTAATGCACCGAAAAGAGTATCCTTACTGCCTTTGATTTTATTTCTTACACTTAACCCCTTAACTACTTTGTTATGTATATATACGCCTTGCTTAGCCGATGCGTTAATTGCCCCAAGCGTATATATACGCCCTTCCAAAATACTATCATTTGCTTTGCGCTGCTACCCGTAAAATTATTCGTAAAGCTTTGGAATGCAACACTACAATGACCTTGACAAAGTATGCAAAGGAGGATACTATTTTAGAGAAGTGTGAGGGAGAAATTGGAGAGAGGGATATGTCTAAAGCGGTGAAAGTAATGACTGCGTGGTATTGGCTGGTGTTTGAGTAAAACATATTTTTTTTATTCTGTGTCTTCCGTTTTCGCTTACTTTTTGTAGTAGGTTCCAGGAATAAAGAAAGATATGCTGAATGTTTCAAACCCATTTATCTTTTTTGAATTATTTTTTGATGAACTGCTCGTGCTCTGAAACTAACTGTTTTGTACACGAGTATATGAACCAACAGCTTGCAAACGAAAAAGAGATTAGAGATTCTTTGATCCAACACAGCTTTCACATGGCTAACAGCTGCACCTAGCGTTGCCATCTCTTCGCTGTCAAAATCCGGGATAGGAAAAAAGTTTTTCTTCAGTCGTAACTGAAAAAAAATCTCCGCCTCCTCAATCTCATTTAAAATTATTTTTTGAGGTGCAAGAGCAAGCACACTCTCGCCAATACTTGTACATTTTATTCTACCACAAGAAATCTTTTTTGCCAAAGAAGAATCTGGAAACAGAGGGCTATACAATTTGTGCAATTCTGACTATTAAAACTATGATGGTGCTTAATCCTATGATAGATTGAAGTAATTTCAATTGATGATATATTATCCTGTTCTTCTGAAGATTTCTTTACGAAAAAGGTTCGAAATCAATTGCGAAGAATCCCTATTCAGTATTAACGACTGGTGTTTCTTGCTTTAGGAATGTACAGTCAAATCTCTAACATCCTCGTACTCAATATTTACCGTTTTCCGACATACTTTATATTCTCCGTTAAAGTTATCTTTCCTCATAAGCTAATCAAATTGAGTTAACCACTTGTCTTGAAACGGCGTCGAATATTTTGTCCTTTTTTTGTGGCACTTGTTCACTTGCAGAATCAGAATCGTCTTTTCCACTAGACGTTATTATACAAGCATTTAAATAATTTCATAATACGCACTTGTTTGTGAATAACTAGCTAACTGCAGACTAAATGAAAGAAAGGACTGAAAATGAGAGGGTGAGGGGAGATGAGAACAAAGCTAAGAATATGTATTGACTTAGACGTTCTTTGGCTGCTGTGCGTAGTCGTGTGATTTTCGATATTCTCAACCACTTCGTCCGTGCGCATTGTGTCGTTATTTTCGAGAAACTTGATATCACGGGAGAGTAATATTTATTTTAAATTCCTTCCGGGAGCCAGGAGATTTTAATTTTCAGGGCTCAATTCGGGGAGAGGTGGGAACCCTAGCTGCGGCAAAAAGGCCACTCTCTGCTACGTTGGGATAACTATCGTTGCCGTTAGGCATAGTTGCTTCGGTTGGCTCTAACATATTCGAGCACCTGAAATAAAGCTTTAATCAACTAAAGCTGCACATATAAAACACAACATCACAGTTGACATCGGAATAACAACATTTACACAAAGAACAATGTTGCCATTCCATGTAGCATAATTTTAGTGTTGCCAATATTAATAAATATTATACTACACCAATGCACTGCTGGACCACCCCTCCTTTCCAATAACGATAAATACTAAAACTTACAAAGAAAATTTGTTTTTTATATTCATAAACTAAAAGGAAATCTTTAAGAGGTAAATAAAAGTCTGATCACATTCCCCTTTCTTCGTTCCTGTTAAGAACCCCTAAGTCTAAACGTATACTCCGTGATCTAATCATATAATAACAG